TTATCAGTGTTTGCACTTTTGCCTCTGTTTGTGCTAGTTGCATTTTAAAGGCAATAAAGTCCAGCTCTGTTTACTCGTAAGGAATCCATATTTTTCCTCCAGCGCACACACCAGCACTCCAAGCACCCATGCTGTGCATCACCTCACAGCTCAGCTCCCCCACCATGAGCCCGCCAGGAGCTCCAAGCCCCAGAGCTGGTCCACTGGTGCAGTGGATCCCACGGCCTCAGCCTCATATCTGTCTGTCCCTGCATGAACCCACAAAGCTGCTTCACCCCAGCTGAGGGAGCCAGGTGCTGATGCCAGTGGGCATGCACATCCCACCATCCATGGGTGTCCCCTCGTGGTGACAACGCCTCCGAGTGACACTATGCTTGTACCAGCACCAGTGTGCCATCCTGCCTGGCGGGGTTAAACATTAACAGGGACTGCTGCCAGGGCAAGGCCAGGTGAGTCTCAGGAGGGGTAAGGATATTGTTTTGGGAGAAAGCATTGCTCAGAAAGTGCTCAGCTCTCTGGTTGTTCTGGTCATCTCCTCCCACCCAGCTCCTCCTCAGTTTCCTTCAGGGCCAGGCTTGATGGGGCCCTGGGCAGCCCTGAGCTGGTGGGGAGCAGCCAGCCCATGGCAGGAGTTGGAGATCTATGGTTATTAACTTCCCTTCCAACCTAAGCTATTCTGTGGCTCCATCCTTCCCAGCTGCTGCCTCCACTTCTGGTGGCCAAGCTTGGCACTTCACCCTGTGGGGAGGGGATTTCTGACATCTGCTAACATGTCTTTGGCTAGGGGATAGCTGCTGGAGGTGCTCTAAGCTGGGGATACACCAGTCCTGTTTCTGCCCCTGCTGCCCCCAGTGCTTGGTATGGCTGCAGCACCCTCACCCGCTGCAATCTGTTCACAGCTGTTAACATCAGCTGTGTTCTCCAGGGCACATGGTGCCTCTCAACAGAGGATGGCTCAGCACCAGGAACACGGTGTGAGTGGGGACAGCCTGGGGATAGCAAAGGAACAAGCTGTGCTGCTGCAAGGCCCTGCAAGCGGGGTTTCAGCTCCCAAAGCAAGGAGGAAAAGGGCATCTCAGATTGACCTTGGCTGGAAATCACGGCTCCTGAAATGCTGGTTGTCCTGAGTGGTCACGGCCAGCCCTGCCCTCTCCTGGACACAGCTTGCTGGGAAGCGTCCCAGATTATGAGAAGTGCAGCATTGGCTGTTTGAGGGGCTCAGCTCACGTGAGTCCATTCATGGAACCTGAGTGTTGATTTACCACGTGAGCCACGCTCCTTGGAAAACAGGCTCACGGGGCAGGGAAATGCACATTGCTCTGCGTCCCGGCACCTTCTTGGCAAGCAGGCACTGGCTATAAATAGTGCCCAGCAGCCTGGGATGTGTCCATCCCTGCAGCATGGGTAGAGCTGTGCAGGTGGGCTGCAGCTCTGCTCCTCTGTAAAAGCCCACATTGGGATCCTCTCCCCAGCTGCTCCCGGCAAAGCATGGGCAGAGCAGAGCTGGCACGGATGGAGCAGCACATCTATCAAAATGAAGGCAGCTCCTTGGGCACAGCCATACCTCATCCCAGTATCCAGGGCTGCTTATGAAATTATTGGGAGCATACAAATGGCAAGTTTTGTTTCAGCAGACACAGTGTCCTGTGGGAGATAAATCTCTGACCCAGTAATTGTATTTCTCCCTCCTTGGCTTCGCTTAAATGGGTTTGAAGCTCAGTGGTGTGGTAGGGATGGCTGGGAAGGAAGAATTGGGTGAGGGGTGTAAAGGGCTCCACAGCCCACAGAGAGAGGTGGGTAGAGGTGCCCCCACGTTTCTCCAGGTATTTTGTGTGAAGAGATGCATCTGGTAGTGCTTTCCCATAGCACTCAATGGTCGTGAGCTTTAGGTCAATGGTGCAAGCCCACCCCTTCCTGAGAGTGCCAAAAATTATTGAAATTCTTCTCATCAAAAAGCCAGATAGTGAGTGGTCTTGTGCTCTGTATTCTGAGGAGCAGATGCAGCTCTGGAGGCAGCCAGAAAAAGTCTATGTGAGCATTTATATGTGTATTTCTATATAAATGAGGAGGGTTTCTTCCTGCTTTTTGCATCCACGCTGCTCCTCCATGCTTGCAAGGGCATGGCACAATCCCTCTCCTTTTGGTTCTACTGCTTCAGCTACAGCAAGATGATGGATGGGGGCAGAAGCAAAGTAAAGTCTGCCCCTGGGGCTGCATGAATAATGGGACAGAATGGGGTCCAGTTGCTCCTCTGTCCCTGTGGGCTTTCATAAGTACCCAGCCATTGAGGTTCCTGCACAATGAGGTAGATACAGGTCTGTGCTGTGATGTCAGCATCCTCACTGATGTCCTCAGTTGCCTCCCCATTGCTGTCCCACCAGGATGGTGCTCGGAGCTCAAAACACACTGTCTGTGAGTGCAGCCAACTTCCTCATCTCCAGGAAATTTATAGTCTGGGCCCAGCCTTGCCGACCCGCTCTCTATCCATTGGGTTTCCCAGCCAGGGCCTTGAGGAACTCAAGCAGTGCAGCCAAGGTCAGCTCGCAGGTCAGGGCAGAGCAGGCGGAGCCTCCAGCTGTGATTTATGTCCCACCTGCTGCTTCCTCATTTTCAGCACCTCATTACATCCTCAGATCCCTGCATGCAGCGTTGCTGGGGGATGCCTGGCCATCCCCAGGTGCTGAGGCTTTGGTGAGAAGGGAGATGATGACCAGCACTTTGCCTATACCATAGCACATCTTGAGCATTCAGGCAATTCATTTTTGCCACTGGGTAGGTTTCTTTGCAGAGGCACATATTTGGGACGGGTTGCCCAGCACTGAGACATTCCTGGCTTCACACCCAACTCTGCTCCGAGCACAGCTCCTCCAGAGGCTTGCATGGAATCGCTATTTATTTTAGCTCATCTCAACCTGCAGTGTGGCTGCATGGCCAAAATCAGCTGCAGCAGCCGAGATCCTGGAAGAGGTGCTACATTTCAGAATGCTCTCCTATATCCAGCATCATTAACCCAAGGTAATGAGGACCTTTGTGCATACACTCTGGACCTAACAAAGTTGTCCTGATGGTGATCCCAGCTTTTGAGCAAGGTAAAGCTTGGCTGCCCTGGGACAAAGTGCTGTGCTTGCAATGGGGCTGGAGCATGCATGGGACAATGCTGCTGTTGCAAAGCTTGCCCGTAAGCCAGGGACTGAGGAGGCTGAGTTTCCTGGGCTGGTGGGATCTGCCAGGTGTCCCTAGCTTACTTTCAGTGTAAAACACCCTTGCTGCTGCAGAAGGGTCACACTGATGATGCTGGAGGGCTGGGTGTTTGCTTTCAGTGCAACAAATGTGGGTGTGAGGTGTTCGCAGCCAGCAGCAAGGCAGCACTGGTGCAGAACAGCATGGGTGGTGCTGGTGGCACAGCTACACTCCCAGATCAGTGACAGCATCACACATCAGCCCATGCCACCTCCTGAAGGCTGTTTTCTTCCTGATGTGGCTCAGCACTGCCCAGCGTTGACATTGCCCAATATTGCCATTGCTGGATGCAGACTGGGCTGTGACAAACAGCATCCCCGGCTCCCTGCTGCTGCAAGGCTCCGGCTCCAAAGGCAGCAGAGATGCAAGAAGTTGCTTTAAGGATTTTTTTCCCCAGTTCCTATGCTGGTGGGAGCGATGGCTGTGAGAACTGCCCCCTCTTCAGGCAGAAGGGCTGAAGGGTCCCCAGCCCGCTTCCCAGATCAGCAGTTATCCCCAGTTAGCACACACCTATCCGACACAATTTGGGTTTTCTGTAAGCAGTGCCAAAACACTGCCCATCACTGAGGAGCTGCTCTACAGCTCTGCTGCCCTGGAGATGCAATTTGATGCTGCTGCCATATAAACATATGCAAAACTGTAACAGTCTGGGTCCTAGCAAGGTTCAAGGGGAATTTGTTTTTCATCTCGTTGTGCACTGAGTCAGGTCCCTGTGGGGGACCCCAGAGCCCCAGTGCTACAAAGCAGGATTTGCAATCAGATGGCACAAGAAAGATACAAAGGGGGTCTGAATGTTTGGCATCTTGGGGGCTTCCCTTGGGAGTGTGAGAGTGGGCATGTGTCCACGAGGCTTGGAGCAGGCTGTCGTGTGCAAGAGATCTGGGTGCATAGGGTGCCTGGGATGAATGGGGCTCGAGGGCTTTGCCATACCCAACTGCGTGCACAGCGTAGAGCTGCAGAGCACAGACAATCTTTGGCTGCAACACAAACCGTGTTTTCCCTTTTTTACTACTGCAGGAAATGTCATTGGAAAGAGACTTTGGATAGCACAGTACACAGGGATGAGGGTGGTGGGGAGAAGCAGCAGCTCAAAGGGAAGCCTCACCCCATGCACAGCAGCAAAAGGGCTGTGGAGACACTGCCATTCGCCAGTCATCTCTGCAGCCCTGGAAAGAAGCACAGGATCCTGGAAGTGCTGTGGAAGAATCTGCACTGTAAATTTTAAATGGAAGGCAGCCCTGAAGTGGCAATATATGTGTTTGCATGCACAGCCCCATGCCAGCATTCTCACCTTTGCATTTTGGCATCTAGAAATTGTATTTGAATTCTGGGTGTGGAAGGTGTGTCCATTCGCCCATTCGTCCACCATCTGGTCCCAGGGCCATCCTGTGGGTCCATTGTGGTCCCCTCCATGGGATGGAAATGAAGAGCTGGTGCAAGAAAGATCTAGCAGATGAATGTGTGAGTTTCTTCGTCCCAGCAGTGCTGCTCCTCACCCTACACTGTGGGTTTGAAAGGGTTTGTAAGCTCCTGGCACCACCTCTGAAGAAAAACAAAGACCCAGCCCCGGAACGGAGCTGTGGGTAGAAAAGCAGATGCTTCATCACTCCTCTTTGCTGGAGGATGGCTGGGAAGAGGAGGCCCAGCAAATGAGAGTATATTTCATGTTGACTTTGCTATTTGGTGCAAAGCCAGAAAGCCAGAGTATTCAGAGGGGTGGAGGGGGGGGAGGAGGAGGGGAGGGGAGAGGAAGATTAGCTTTGCTGCAAAAGAAAACCGAGTCATTCTGCCAGGGAAATCTCCTCTGAGGTCTGAAAAGCAGTGGGAAGGTCACTTCTGTTGCTCTGGGTGTCCTCTGGGCTGAGCTCAATCTCTTCTTTACTTTAGACTTGAGCAAAACCAACACATTTCCTCACACTGCAGCCACATCCTGTATGCAGTTCAGGTCTTAGCTGCTGGTTTGCCTGATGTTTCCTACAGTTAGTTGTAGACTGTGCCTATATCCTATATTGTCACTGGAGGTGCTCAAGAACCATGGAGATCTGGCACTGAGGGTCATGGTAAGTGGGCACGGTGGGGAAGAGCTGATGGTTGAACTAGGTGATCTTAGTTATCTTTCCCACTTTAATGATTCTATGATTCTACACCATCCGATAGAATACCCCGTACTCCATGCCTTTGTATTATTTCCCAGCGAAGCCTGAGTGAGCCAGTGCTGAGGCTTTCCCTATTAACACCACAGTCAGCCCTGTGGTACCCAGCAACTGCACCTGTGGGCAACTGGAGCAGTGGCCTTGCTGCATGCATCTTTATTCCACCAATGTTCAAGTCAATCTCAAGACTGTGTCTCCTTCTGGATCCATGCTGCGGGTGTGCAGAGCTAGGAAGTGATGGGCTGTACTGGTTATCCACACACCACATGTGCTCTGTAGCTTCTACATGTCCTGATATGACTGTAGGCCCAAGGAAAGGGGATGAGAAACAGAGAGAAGAAGATTACAGGAGCAAAAAGCTTCAGGAACTAAGGACCCAGCACAGCAAGCTGTTCAATGCCCTGGGCCATGGCTCTCCTCACCCTGCACAAACAGTTTATGCAAGCAGCCTGGGTGCAGCCTCTCCCTGGGTGGAGCACAGCAGCGCACACAGGGACATCATGCCCTCACCAAGCTCTTGCAGCCGTCTCCCAAAGCTTGGCACAGCCCTGAGCAAACAATTTGTTCCCTGCAGTTTCCTTCACCCAACAGATAACCCAGGCTTTGGCAGGATGCATCCCTGCAGCTGAATACAGAGCTCCTATAGTGGTGTGCAAGCTGGCATCCTGCACCCATCAGACATTGCTGCATCAAGATAAAGCTGTGCATAGAAGCAGGCAGCAAGGAGAAGTTATCCCACGAGGCTAGAGGGTCCCAGAGCCAAACACCCTGCCCTTATAGCAGACACAGGCTCTGAGATTGTAATCTAATGCTCACTACCCCAACACCTCAGCGCTCCGTGTACATTTCACACTTTGGCCACCAACAATTCTCTGTGGCAAGCCCATCTACAGGCAAGCCCCAACAGTGTTTCATTACTATTTGACACCCTGCAATCGACAGCTGGGTCTGAGGGACCTGCGGAAAGACACAGGGGTGGGCTGTGGTGGGAGCATGGGGATGGGCTGGAGCCTCTCTCCCCACACTAACACCGGCTGTTCCCAGGCAGTCTGGAAGGGCAGCGGGCTGGAGCAGAGCCGGCAGCCACCATAAACCATCCCGCAGTGATTTACAGCCGCCCAGCCTCCCGCAAGCACAGCAGCTGCTGTGAGCTAGGAGCTGGAGAGAAGGAAAAACAGCAAAGCCGACAGGAGGGGGAGAAAAGCAATGAGGAATGGGCAAGAATACTGGTCTGGTTGGATGTGGGGAGGATGAAAGCCTGCTTTCCTTGCTCTCCTTCCCTCCTTTATCCCACCCCCCAAAAAATCTCTTATCTGCCTGCAGTGAAAAACAAGGCTTCCTTTGAACCTTTTTTATTATTATTATTATCATTTTTTTATGGGGAAAGGACACGTGTGCTAAAGCGGGGGCAGCCCATGAGCTCAGCCCAGCACCTCCCCTCCATCCCCGAAGAAAAACAAGCGGCTCGGAAGGAAGAAAGGGAGAAGGAAAACATGCCGTTCCCTGCACCGCCGCCTTGGCAGCGCGCAGATTGGCCGAAGCCTGGGAAAGGGAGCCTGCTTCGGTGTTACCGGGCAGATTTGGAGATTTTGGGGGGATGGAGGCAGGGAGGGGGGAGCAGGACACCCGCGCGCCTGCGTCGTGAATGGAGCATGCACAGGGCTGGTTTTGTGATGCTGGATTCCAGTTCGCCTCCGCCGGCGCACTGGGACACGGCCTCAGCCGCTTTGTTTCTTGCACTGCTATTTGGGGGAGGCAATGAGGGGTCAGGGGGGGTCCCATGCTCTTGCCTGGTTTGTTCCTCGCTGCGCGGTGCCCGGCTGAATGTGCTCATTGTGCCAGGAGCTGCCATCGGCACACGGCCAGGGCTCCCTGGGCAGGGGCCCGGTCCCAGGGGGCTCAGAGGGAGGGAGGGGAAATAGGAGGGGAAAAGGAAGGAATAAGAAATCGAGAGCAGGGTTTGGAAATGGGAAATGTCACCGTGCAGAAAGGGGTTTGAAAGGGAGGGGGAAATTGTGGCCAGCATCTTTGTCTGCTGTATTTTGGCATCCAAAAGGGCATTTTTCTAAGGGAACAGTAAAATAAGTCCCCCCATCACCGTCCTAAAATGTTGATTTCATCTCCAAAAAGGGCTTGTGGAGGGATCTGCCTTGATGCCCACATGGGATGCCTCTGCTGCTCTCCTGCACGCCACATCCCGCACATGGGGAATGGTCCTGGCTCTGAGGGATGGGCTCATGCTGTGCCATGTAGCAATCCATCCCAAATCCATCCACCAAGCTCTCAGTTTGCCTTGATGCCATCTCCTTCACCAGCATGGGCTGAGGATCTCCCGTGGTGCTCAGACTGTACAGCGCAAAATCACAGCCTAAGGCAAGAGAGAAGCATTTAAACAGCAGCAGAAAAGGATATATTTTTGTTTTTAAACTTGTAAAAGACCATTGATTTCTCTAGGCCGGAGACCAAATGAAAAGTAAAACCCTTTCCCATGCCACAATGGCACAAGGGACGTAGCTTAGAGGGCATGGTGGGTATGGGTTGGAGTTGGACTAGATGGTCTTAGTAGTCCTTTCCAACCTTAGTGATAATATGATTAATCTTTCTTACTCATTGGCATGCAAACCAGAAAATCCATCATTTTGTCCTGAGCAGAGGGAACAGAAAAAGGTCCAGAGAGCTGGCTACCACGTAAGCAAGCAGGATGACACGGAGACCCTCCCTGCTTCCTGGGGCTTATTTGGTGATTCTTCCATGAATTTCCTTGGCTTTCCCCAGCAGAGCAAACTGTAGCAAACTGTAGCATCTGTAGATACAGCAGTTGGGGAACCACACATATTACAGGTCTACTAGGTCATCTTTCTGCTGGCCATGGGAGATGGGGAAGGTGACAGCAGTCACCCTGTCAGGAGACAGGGCCCCAGGCACCTCTACAAGCCCAGCAAAGCCCATAACAAAAGCATTTTAAGAGTGACACTCATTAGGGATAATGGTGAGGTGTTTTCATTTGTGTGTGATGTGAACTCCTATTCATGGTTCCTCATTAAGACACAAAGGACCTGTGGACCTGTCCCAACTTTGGGTTGGCAGCATCCTATGTGATTGTGACCATCCCTTGGACAGGTCACCCAAGGGCAAAGAGAAAAAAAAAAAAGCAATTAAAAACCAGGCCCTGCCTTGTGCTCAGCCCCAGCTCAGGGATGCTCTGCTGAGGTGACCCAAGACATGACCTTGGTCTTCTGCCCTCCTCCTGTTCACTCTATAGTCCAGTCAAGGCCAACACCAAAGGATTTTAATTAAAACCTTTTTCCAGCCACAGTGGTGGGCATTTTGTCTCTTAATTGCAGAACAGACAGGCTCTCAGAGGAACGAATGGTTGTCCAGTTGGCTGGCATACTCTGCCCAAGCCAAGGGCTGGGAACACTAGCACCAAGCACAAGAAGGGTCTTTCAGCATTAAGGACACACACAGTGCAAGAGGAGTACTGTCATCATCATTAGGAGGCAAAAAGGAGAAGAACACTTTCTTCTGCTTGGCAGGGGTGGAAACTGAGCTCAGCGCCTGCCGCTGCCAAGCTGGAAAACTGAGGGACAATCACCTCCAGTCCTCATGCCTCCTTCACCTTCATTTGCAATGTGCTTACCCCCAGCTGACATTTTCTGGAATAAGATGGTCAGATCTGCACCCTCTGATCCAGCAGACATCTTGGTGGTCCTGACCTGGAGGTTTTAATGTCAACGGAGAGACACTGCCATGAGAATCGCCAAGAAATACATAGACGTGGCACTGAAAGCCGTGGTGGTGATGGGTTGGCAGCTGGACTTGATTTTAGTGGCCCTTTCCAACCTTAATAACCCTGATATTCTAAACGTGCACCTGCCTTTTGAATGACAACATTCAGGTGGTGACTTTCTCTGCCACCTCCAGACATCAAAGTCCTACTTTAACATATGCTATTGCTCCTCTGGCCCAAGGACCTTGTGTTCTATATCAATGAGCTTTGTATCACTACTGTCGCTCCCATCTCTCAGCTCACAGAATTCTCTCTCTAAAACCACCACAGATCATGCAGCACTCCCCGAAGGATTACTCAATATTAAACACTGCTAGCACCACTCACTTGGTAGATGCAGGAAAACCCCAGCTATTGCCTGTGTGCCCTGTAAGGGTGATAGTTTGGATGTTGCACAATCTCACCTGTCAGCTCTTTGGTTTGCTTGCTTGCTGTTAAAATCTGATTTTGCCTACAGGGAGTAGCACAGAAAACCAACATGTTCTTCAGTTACACCACAACAATTTCTTCTTGTAGATGAGAAGATCCCTCCTTTCCATTTATGAGCATAGCATAAGCTTCAGGATGCACTTAGCCTTTTTTTGCCCTGGAATCCTTGCCAGCTTTCACCTGGAAAACAACACGAGCATACTTGTAATTGAAGAATGTTGACCCAAGGGTGAAAACACTTTGGTAAGGAAACAATTTTCACTTTCAAACACTATGGCTTCGCTATTTGGAAACTCTCTATTTCATGTTCCCGTTCCCAGCCAATTCACATTTTTGCTTTCAATCTTTGCAGCCTCAGCCAGGCTCTGCTATGCGGGCTTGTTGTTAGTGTGTCATGGAGAGCAACACATACCTAAGGGAAGGAGTCAATGCATGTTGAAGATGGGCCTGGCCAAGTTCCCTTTCCCTCTCCCGCTCCAAACGTCCCCCAGCTTCGGAAAAGTTTGTCTCCAACTCTGAACTCGCTTGGCCCCACCGCTATAAATAGATGGAACAAAACCTCCCAAGCCAAATGCCCTGAGTGTTTAGAAAGCTTTGATCCCGCGCTGCTTTTGAGTGCTTGATCCCTTCCTGCTAATGCAGCTTGTGACCATATTGCAGCTCAAAGTGGGGTGAAGAAGGGGGAGGGGGAAGGTCTGTGCCATGAGACCCCTGGTGTTGTCCCGTATGGTGCCAAGACACATCCCTGGGGCTTTGCATCCTGGTGGTCACCGTGTCACTCCCCATGTCTGGACAGAACAGACCATGGGTTAAGCCTCCTTGGTGCCAGCTATGGGTTTTCCCTTCTGTTTCCCTTTTCCTGTGGGTTAAGGGCACTTGCTCTCCCCCCCCACAAACCCTGCTGGGTGTGCCTGCCTCTTATGTCTTGGCATTGCTTGCCTTGGCCAGGGATGGAAATGGAAAGAGACAAACATCAGGAGAATAAAAACAAAAATAACAAAAAAAGGGCTGCTCTTGCAGTATTTCCAACCCATCAAGCCCAGGGTGGGAATCTCACAAGAAAGCTGGCTCTCACCAAACCCCAGGCTGAGAGGGTTGGGTAGCGGCCCCAAGACTTGACAAGTCCTGCTGAGATCCCAATGGGTACAGAGGAGATCAGCACTGTGGCTGTGCCACTCCTCAGCCCCCCATATCCCTCCCCTACTCCAAGCCAGTGCAGCCAGAGCACTGTGTGCACCCCAGCACTCATACAGCTCCATGGACAACCAGGACAGACAACACAGGACAGATGTGCAGCATCAAAACAACCTTCCCACCATGCTGCTTTAACATTTCCCAGCAGCTTTGTGGCAGCCCTACAGCAAACCAAGCTGCATCAAGCTAGATACAGGCTTCTTTGCAAATCCCATTTGAAAGGAAACTCTCTAGTGTTTCAAACTTCCTGCCTTCTCACCTTGCCCTGCGCAAGGCTGCAGTGCTGCAGTCGCAGTTCTGTGGAAATGCAGGAAAGCTGGTATGAGCTGGGGCTGGCATGGGACCAGCCCCACAGCTGCGTCCCTGGAGAGCTGGATTAGCTAATACCACGTTGGGAAAGGGCTGAGGTCAGCCCCATCACCCTCTGTCACTGACAGGGACAAGAGAGCTTGGATATTGCTCCAGAGGGAAACTGCAACTAAAGAAGAACAGTTTTTTGAGTAAAATGATACAGAGCTCATTGCAGAGAAGAGCAGTGCTCACCTCTCCTCGCTCCCTGTACCTCATGGTACCTATGATAGGGCTCAGCACTGCTGGGACACCTACAACCCTCACAGGGAACACTCAGTCTGATCAGCATCTGCACAGCCCCCAGCCAGGGCTCACCATAGGAACACCCATCCTCAGCTCACCAAGGATGCAGGGCTGGGCTGTTGATCCCCATCCATCCATACTTGCTGGGGTGCTTTGCCCCATTTGTCCTGCTCACTCCTCACCAGGAACAACACTCACCTACCCAGGAAAATAGCATCCAAAAATCACCCTGGAGAGGCTCAAAGTGGCCCCATCACCTCCACGCACCCCACGGTGGCTGGCAGGAGGCTACTTTGGAGGCGGGCGCTGGCGTGGGGCTTTGTTTTTTGTCCTGTTTACCCTGCCGAGAGGAACAGAGGAGTTCAGTGTGCAGGAATCTCGTGCCCTCGCCCTGCTCCCCCGCCACACGAAAGCTGCTGAGCAAACAGGAGGACGCAGAGCCCCGCTGGCACCCGCTGCCTTTCGGTGCAGGCAGCCCCACTGCCAGCTCTTGCATAAGTGGCTGTCTCAGCTCGGTGCTGTTCTCGAGGCTTTTTTCTTCTTTCGTCCCACAGGAGGCACGGCCTTGGGCTTGGGACCACAAGAGCATTGAGCATTCCCTCCTGCTTGTTGGATGCATGGTCCATGTACCATGGTTGCCTCCTGCAAGTCTCCAAAGCCAAACACAAGAGCATCTTTGCAAGGGCATCTCAATGCCATTACCTTCAAGGAGCATTCATCATCCTCCACATTGCATAAGGGTTCTTGCATCCTATTTTTTATTTCTTTAAGTCCTATGTAACAATTCCTGATTAGAAGCAATAAAAATAATAATCCAAATGCCAGTCTCGTGGATTTCATTATTATAGAAACCTGTGTGCCAACAGCCCTGCTTACCTGCACACTTCTGCAGTGGGGATCTCCTCACCTCACAGCACAGGGATTAGATCAAATTAACTCACACTTGGAGCTGTGGCAGGATCAGGCAAATCCTGGCTTGGCTAGCTCTCTTTAAACTACATCTTGCAAACAGAAGGCCTGGAAACAGTTTTGCTTTAATTGCTTTTTAAAATGCAGCCAGCAGATGGTTTGGTAACCCGAATTCATGACTCTTTCCACAGCTCCAGGCTGCTGGCTTTGAAACCAAACCCAAGCACAACCCAGGTAGCGAGGGCCCCATTCTGCCTGCTTCACCAAAGCACCCACTTGGTGCACAGCACAGGAAAGCACAAACATAAGTTACACGACACTGGGGCAGCCCAGATGGGCAGGGATGTTCAAGCATACCTGCTTCTGGTCCCAAGTGTTATTTTTGGTTGAAAGCAACGGTGTGGCTGCTCCTGAAGAGCACTTACTGAGTGTAGGACGGCCAGAAATGAGGGGCAATTTGCACAGGTACCACAGTCTGTGGCCAGGGCCACTGTGTTCAGAAATGCTTCAACGAGCCTGGAAAGCCTGTGGGTTCATAACATAGTCTGCACCACAGGGAACGTCCCTGGCCACACATCCTTTCAACACCTGGTCCTTGGGGCTGCTCCTGTGCACCCATACCCAAGGGCATCCCAGCTGCTCCCAAAAGGCTACGGGTTAGGGAAGCAGGATCCTCTGCTCACCCTCACATGCGATGTGATTGCCAGCAGTTCCTTCACCTCTCCCGTTAGCCACATTGATGGGCCAGTGTACGGTGTGTCCCCACACCCATCAAGCTGGGAATGGGGACCAACAGGGCTGCAGATTGACCTTCACGCTGCAGCAAAGTTTTAGTAGGTTCCATATGTCTCTGCTGACCTAAGTGTTGTCCTCACCTCACTAGAACACCTCCATACTCAACATCCCACACCCAGATGCACAGCCGTGCCCCAAAACCAGCCACATCCCAGTGCAGATGAATTAAGGCTGTCCCGAGAACCTCGCACGCGTCTGGTGAAGCAGACTTGTTTTTCTGTTACAAAGTAATTTGAAATTCTTGGAAGGCAATCAGGAAAGTACAAAGTATTCCAGCTCAGGACAGCCTGGGACTCATTCCTTAGAGGCACAATGGTTGTTTACTCAATCCCTCATACATTAATATCTAAAAATTCATGAGTTCAATTGTAAACAAGAAGCACTGACTTCAGTGGGTTGTCTACTTAACAACAGTTGTCCTAGCCTGAATGCTGATTTTGTTATCTTTCTTCTAATCTTACTATCAGAGGGTCAAGATTTCGCAAAAAAAAAAAATTATGGGAAATATTTCAAGCCCATTTATTTCTGGTTTTGAAACGCATCCCTCTGAAACCCAAGGCCAAAGAAAGACTATTTCGAATCAACATCGAGGAGTGCAGGCAGGGAGAAGAGCTGTTTATGCCAGCACTGTCCTCTGGCTCAAGAATAAATGAGCAAGAAGCCGGCCACAGATGCGCTTGTGCTAAAAGTCAGAAGATTCCTAACCACCACAAGGGACTGTCCCAAGGCAGGGGACAAATGGACACTAAATAATCCAAACTCAAACTGCCACCAAGACAAAGCACAACTGTTTGCTGGAAGCAAAACAGCAGGCTGCCTGCGGTGAGCAGAGGTCTCACCTGCATTTATCAGACTCAAGGAACGACACGAGAGGAGGAGGGAGCTTCCTGAGCAGGATGTTCATGTATCTTTATCTCTGCTGCTGTCAAAGGGCAATATAGCTGAGATTGCAGGCTGTCAGAAAGCCTCCCTGCAGGCTATCTCCTGAGGACATCAACAAGCCCGGACAATCACCTTCACTCTCTTGATAAAGGTTTCCAAGCAAGTGAACGCCCAGGGAGCTGTCACCTTCACCAGTTATAAATCATAGAGCCACAGAATCACAGAATGGTTGGTTTGGAAGGGACTTCAAAGCCCATCCAGTCCCATCCCCTGCCATGGGCTGGCTGCCCCCCACCAGATCAGGCTGTCCAGGGCCCATTTGTGGCCTTGGGCATCCCCAGGGATGGGCAATCCACAGCTTCTTTAGGCATCAGCTTGCCTGGGGCTGGCTCATGCCCCAGGTACAGCCTGAAGATGCAAAGCCTGCAGCCTCTGTTGGAGTTAATTACATTTTAGCTGTAACCTCCTGTCCCAGCCTGCAGAAACAAGGCAGACAAGTAGGGGTGACGGGACAGTTACACATTTACTGCCAAATCACTGTCCAAGGACAAGAGCACTTGGGCAAGTCCAAGTTTCATCCAACAAAGAAAACACCCCTCATTTCAATCTCTGTCCCTTCCTGCCCTATGGAAGCCAGTAGAACATGCCATCAAGAGCACTCACAAGTCTTCAATCTCTACTTCTTTGATCTCCACTTTGGAAAAGCCACTGCACAACAACGCTGGCAGTGCCACAGCAATGCAAGAGGCACCATTCAACTCCCTGTTCGTTTTGGCGAGCAGTTGCTTCTATGAGCAACATGTCCCTGCAGGACATTTAGGTCTAAGTTTGCATCCATACAAACATTCCACTGGAGCAGAACAAAGCCAGGTTGTGTTTGGAGCCAGCTTCCCTGAGGAGGACGCACAGAACCATTGGGGGTTGGAGCTCAGTGATCTTTAAGGTCCCCTCCAACTTGAGCCATTCTACGCTTCTGCACTGATGCTACTCAGGCTGATAAACTCATTCTGATGAAAGAATCCAGCAGATCACTTCAGGCGGTAGTGAGAAGGGATCCTTCTCCCTATCATGAGCTGGGATATCTCCTCCCTGACCGTCTGCAGGGATGGCAGTGAGGCAGAATGCCTGCCCATCCTGCCCGCCAGCTGGGCTGCCCCGCAGAGCAGTTCCATGTTTGTCTTGGACGACCTCCTGCTGGACCAGTGCTTTCCACTGCGTGGCTCTCCTGCGCTGTCAGAGAGCGGATTTCCTGCTGTTTGATCTATTTTTGCTGCTCGTTGTGCCGAGTGCCTCCTTGTTTCCTCCATCAGGACCAATCTTTCTGCCGCCTCAGTCTGGGTCTTGCTGTGGGAAGAGGGCTAGAGGTCAGGGAGCTGCTCCATCCCTCAATGACCCTGGAGAGGCCACATCCTAGCCCACAGGGATGCCACGTGGACACAGAGTGCCCTCTGCTGCTGCAGCCTCCGATGAAGACGCGGGACAAAGCAACATGCAGCTTTGTAAACCTCAGGACAGGCTGCCAAGTGAGCCTGCTGGCACACTGCTGCTAACCACAGCTCCTGGGGAGCGGGCTGGCAGGGGAAGCCCTAGTGGACATGTCACACCTGGAGGGACACCACCGTGGTCCCTTAGCAGCCCACACCACAGGAAGGAGCACAGAGCATGGCAGAAATGGGCTGTTTTTCCTGAAACAGCGCAGGGAAGCAGCTGCAAAGGGAGGCCTGGTTGCAGGCCAGTATTCCTCACAAGCAGATGGGGTGCAAAATAGACGCCTCGCCCTTCCCAGGCCACCAGCCAGCAGCTGTTCTTGCTGCAGAGGGCCCGCTAGGAGCACAGAGACAGATATTAGTTAACTAAAGGCACAAACAGGTTCTGCACAACACTTTTCAGGCTTGGATGCAGCCTCTGGAGGTTGGTGGGTGCTCATCTTGCTCCCAGAGCACTGCCTGCTCTGTTTTCCTCACAAACCCTCCCATTTCATTCAGGTACAAAGAACCTCAAGGCAGGTTTCAAACAGCACACCACAGGCGTCAAAGTTCATTCCCTGCTAACGAGACTCTCTCTTTCAGAGATAAGGCCTATTGACACCAGAGACCAATGGGGATTTATAGCATTAGCAGCACTCCGTCCCCCAGCAGGGTTACGTGGCACAGGCAACGTCCAGGAGATAGTCATCACCTGCTGTGAGCTGACACTGGCCTCTTCCTGGCTGCACAGCCTGCACATTCCCTACCTGTGCTACAAGGGAAGGGCTCTGCCAGCCTGAAGTCCAGCTCCTGGCTTCACAAGGGACCACCCAAAATTCAGACTGTATGTCTGAGAGCACTGTCCAGGTGTTTCTTTGCCATGCTTTTATCTCTAGATCTTTCAGCAGGCCCCCACCATTCCAGTGACCACATCCCTCAGTGTCACATCTCCACGGTTCTGTAACACCTCCAGAGATGGTGACTCCTCCACCACTCTGGGCAGCCTGTGCCAATGCCTCACCACTCTTTCTGAGGAGAAATTTTTCCTCCTCCACCCAAATTTCCCCCTTGAGAGAGACCCCTTTCCAACTTCTCAGACATTCCTGCTGCAAAGCCTTCCCTGCTGGGACGTTCCCCCTGGGTGCAAAGCACAGCATTTGGGGCTGGACCCCTTCCCACCTCCATGACCCACACATCCTTTTGCTGACCCTACTTCTATCCCCAGCGTGCTGAGAGTGCACAGCCACTATCTCTGTGTTGTGCTGATCAGGAGACACCTGGCCAAGAGGAGTGCCCCACTGTGTCTTGTAGTTATCTCACTGTGCTGTAAAGTGCTGGCAACTGAAACGCTGAATCAGGAGTGCACAGCTGGAAGAAACACCTTTGGGTTTCAGCACCAGCATGGACTTGTGCCAATTTGAAGCCTTTGATCAGGGAGCAGAGGACAACCCAGGTAAACGTGACTCAGTGTCCATCTCCTCAGGAATACCTTGACCCCAAACATGCTGCAGTCAGCCAATGGGGAGGCCAAGGGGACCAGCAGCACAGCAGCCAGCAACCCAAAAATAATTTTCTAACACTACCTGGCTTCTTCATCACAATGCCCATGGTGAGATATAGCAGCCAACGGCACTGGCACCCAAAATCTCCCACACTGCCGATGTTGTTGTTATCCTAAGGAGTCAGCAGAACTCCTCAGGAGCCTGCCCCAACCACAAGCAGCTCCTGTTTCCCTGAGCTCAGCAGCCCTGCCTGATAAAAGATGCAGTAGAGCAGCTTGGAGAGAAGGAGGAAAAGCGGCTCCAGCATTGGCTCACATCCCATCAGATAGGGCACACAGCAGCACAAAGTCCTGGGGTACAGCCCATGGTGCCCTGTGGCCCCTCTGGGGGACATGAGGTGGGGACAGCAGCTTCATGGTTCCCATTCCCAGGCACATTCCCTGTTTCAGTTTCCCCAGCTGTCCCTATCCACTTGACAGGATGGATTTTTGGGGCATGGCAGGTGAGATGCTGGCAGAAACAGGGTACTCCTGCTCACCCCCACACTCACCGTGCTGCCTGCACGAAGGAGCCAGAGCCACGGAACATCCCTACAGGCCAGCATCCAGCACTGCCTGAGGCTCTGTGCCGCCTACCGAGGGGGTGACATTGACCCTGTCCCCAGCATTACCAGCAGCACTCGCTAGGCGACGATGCCACCTGCTGCCCGCTGCCGGCCAGGACACCCCGCCACGCAGCCCCGCAGGGGACTGTCTCCATCCCGCATCAGACTCTGTCCCATCCAATCCCCTCCATGCTGATTTTGAGCCAAATCGATGCCCTGAACTGCCTTAGGGCAAGCCCGTGGCAATCCCAGTGATTCACCCTCCGAGTGCCACCAGCCACCTCCAAATCCCTGCCTGGATTTAATCATCTGGAAACACAACGATGCTATTTTTTTTTTTTTAACTAGGAGCCATACCATGAGACACTGACGTATTTTAACCTTTCAAGCACTTACACATTGTTTCTACAGCTTAAGATAAAAGATGTTACCAAAGGGAGGAGAACAGCGATAATTATCTGCAGTTCATAAGTTTAACCTTTAGAGAAGGAATTGGGTTTCCAGCCCTGCTTGTTAAATGCTTTTAAGCTGCACTTTTCTAAGTGGCTGTACACATAATTATAAGCATATTATACTGATAGCTGGCATCCACAAGCACAGCCTGAGGCTGATGGTACCCCCAAAACTCAGGAGTGACAATGCCACAGAAGGTCACATGGGAATAGATTGATGAGGTCCCTACAGCCAGACACCAGAGGGATGTGGGTTCTTATTCCCAGCTGCTTTCCTGGTGGCAGAGACTGTCCCCAAAGTCAGGCTGAAAGTCAGGGTGACAGGCTTCTGCATGGATCTAGATGGCTTCTTTCCCATCCTGGTAGACTATTTCTGAAGGAAACAGCATGGTGATGTTACATCTAGCATTAATTGCTGGAGAATGGTGGGGAGAATGAGTACCAGCCTGATGATGCAAGAGGGGAAGGTGCACAGCAGGAAAGGAAGAATCCCACCATTCGGGGTCATTCAGGGACCACAAAAAGAGCAGCCATCACAAAGAACCAAATGTCTTATCCACGTGCTGCAGGGATGAGGATTTCAGCCCACATTCACTTCCCTTCGAAGCTCCCTGGGGCTCTGTGTCCTGGCTGCTTGCCCTATTCCCTGCCTTACAGCAGAGCAGTGCCTCTTCGTCACACTGACAGGCAAAGTCAGTCTCGTTGGCTGTCTGTAATACATCAGGCTGCTGCACCCTGAAGGCATCGCTAGGTGCTGATCCTCCCCTGACAGCCATTCAAATTCGTATTTACCCATATGGAGTTGCCACTTGGCATCACAGCCTCCTGAACTGATGAATATGGGTGGGGAGAAGGGGGGAAGCATCTGATGTGCCGGTTCTGGATGTGATTCTTTTTGTGTTAATTTCAGAAAATACTGTAGTTTGCAGCCAGCAATACCTGCAAGGGAAGCATATTTTAAGTGAGCGTTGCAGGAGAGCCATGCAAAACAGATTTCAGCTTCACCCTTGCACACAACTGAGTTAGGTTCCCGTGGGGAGAGAACAGAAAAATGCTGCGAGGCCATGCATCGCCTTCACCACCCCACAAACCACAATCTGGCAAGAGCAACCCAGTCCACAACTGGGACTGGGATTGATCTCAGGACAGCTGCAATTGGTCAAGAAAAAGGAAGAGGCATAGAAGCAAAAAAAAAACCAAAAAAAACCCAAACAACCCAGCATTGTCGCACCAGCAGAACAACAGCCATGCACAGAGATACCTGGCTGGTATTCTATACATTATGTCAGATGGTTTTGCTTCAAGGTTGTAAACTGTAAGATACAGCTCTGAGATTTTGTGGCATCTTCTTAAATCACTGTTTTCTTGCCCAGGATGCAGGTCTTTGAGGTTGTTTTTTGTTGTTTATAATGTAAATGGCATATTACAAGGCTTTTTTTTCCCTTGGCTGCATCTTCAGCATAGATCTCTGCTGCAGTTAGAAATCACTCCACAGCATGTTGTTCACAGATCCGAGCAGGGAGGGCAGGTTGCTGCATTTTTCCTTAACTACAAGTTTATCCCTTATTTCAAAGGCACTAAAGGGAAGGAATCCTCATAAAAATTACCTTTTACAATGCCTAGAGCTCTCCCCAGCCTGACACCCTTCCCAGTGCTGGCAGGACCCAGCTCCCAGCTGGGTGACAGCACTGCCAGGGGACACGTTCTGCAGTCCCCTGCCTCGATGGCACCAACTACAGCCTGGAGATGGCAAAGGAGATGGGCTCCAATCCAGCCCTACATGGGACTTTCTGATGTGCACGGAGAGGGCCAACCGCTGTCCATAGAGATGAAAAAGGGAAAAGCAGTGTTGCTCCACACTGAGAAGTGGTGCTCACCTGCCCTCCTCCCACATCTCCTGCCTTGCAGCAGCGTAGGAGCTTTCCTCCAGCACGAGCTCCCAGAGCTGCTTCACATGGCGCAGGGCAGAGCCTGCGGAGCTGCTGGCAAAGCTGCAAAGAGAATGAGTGAAAATATAAGCAAAGCATCAGTCCTGATTCGTTCTGCTGGTGGCATGCTGGGCACTTTCCTGCTGAGCCTGTGGGGCAACTTTCCCACCAGTGCTGTCACAGCTCCCACACGTCCTTGCTGCTTTCTCATCCTCCTGCTATTTTTATTTCTCTGGAAATGCTCTGGGCAGCCAGGTGACCTTTATTAAGATTGGGGCTTTTTATACTGCATGATTCTGCAATAATACTAAGCTTTTTTTCTTTGCTGAGCCATCCTGGAGAGGCTTCTGCTGCTCACCTGGCATTGCAACACGTGAGTCAAGATGAGAAACAACCACTGGACCTGAAACCCGGCAGAGCATCAGGGCCTCTGGAATTAACGATAGTGGCTCTTGTCACCATGTGCTTTGCATGGACTGGGGAGAACCCTGTCTACTAGGTTTAAATCCCACACTGGAATAGGTGTGGAAAACCACATTGAAACCTCCTCTCTCTCTGCTGCCACTGAGCAGTGCTTTGAACAGCTCTCTCACCTACAGCACACCAGGTCCAGTAATTACAAGCAAAATATTTGCACTCTTCACTCTCCTCCTGGGACAGCCCCTTCCCAAAGCACTGAGTGTTTTCACATCAATAAGTTCCTCTCTCAGGCCAAGAACAGGGAGCAGAGGGTTGGAGAAAATGGCTTTTCTCAAGTACCTGGTAGCTGAGGCAATTAAAAGAAAATTAAACTGACATTTCTAACTTGCAGCATAAAAGAGATGTGCAATGGTGAAATAATTAAAAGTTACTGCTGGGAACATCCTGTTCTCACCAGCTTGCTGAGAAGAACAAAAGGGCAAGAAGCAATTTTGGTGCTTCTTCTTTTAATTTATTTATTCCTTCTGTTTTGATAATTAATTATTAGTTATTGCTGTCTCCTCAAAAGCTGGAACCCAAGGGTTTTCCACAGAGTAGCAAAGAGACATACTGGTCAATATCTGGTTTACCCAGTCTCACTAGTGGCAAAAGCAGCTTTTTGCCAGCTAGGTCCCCTGCCCACAAAGGGCTTCAGAGCTCCATTTTCAGGTTTGCAGCACCTGCCTGCAAGATCTATCCAGCAACCTGGGAGCAGATCCACAATGGAACTGCAGCCCATCCCATGCTGTCTCTCACCATCCAGCATCACTTACTTCCCAAGTCAGCTGCACCTGGGTATCTTGGGCACAGAAAGAGAACCTCTGGTTGGAAACCAGCTTTGGAGCATCCATACTTGCTCCTCCACAGAGCTCAGCTGGCCACATACAACAGCGTAAGAAAATTCTTGATGTTTTTCAAGCCAGAACATCCCAGGATTTTAGTCTCATGCACTTCAAGACTGACTATACCCAGGGTTTAACACTGACCTTCTGGAAGTAAAGTATTCACTGTGGTTTTAGAATGAGCATCTCCTTGCCCTACACATAAGCAAGATGAAGATACTTCTGCAGTGTCTGCATGACTCTGCTTCAGCCTGTCCAACCCCCTGCATACAAGTGCTTCTGGGAAGGATCTGGCAACAGTCTGGAAGAATAAGGAAAGCAAATGCTCAAATCACTGCTGGGGGTTGTGGTCATGTTTTATACATCTGTACCCACTCATCCAGCAAATCTTTACAACATATGACAGAGAAGTCACTATAAACTCTTCCTCAATGGTGTTTCGTGGTGAGAGAAGCAAAAATGCAATTATAGTAACCTGTGTACTTAAAAGGCAGTCAGGTGAAAAGACAGGCAAGCGCACAATGCACCCCAAATTTGTTTCTCCTTCTATGAGTGTGAGCAAAACAAATCAGGCCAGGCTTTTCCTTGCTCAGAGCTGGTCGTCTTCTGTCTCAACAGGGGCAAGAAAGCCCCTCAGACATCAGTCTGTGGAGGCATACCCAAAGTGAGAGATGCCCTTGTTTCCAGTTTGCTTCCACTTGACTTAGCAGGTTGGGCCTCAACAACATTGCTGCCAGCATCACACACCTTCTGAGGCCACATCCCAGATTTTTTGCTCTTCTTTGGAGTGGTAAGAAAACCTGCTGCAGAGGTTAGCTGTGGTCCCACCTGGCTGTGCTACAACATTGCAGACACTTAAATATATCTGTAAACAACATACAAATGTGCTTGTATCGTCATATTATCATAGCTGCTAAGGACTGGCCAGGCAGGGGGAAGCCTAGCTTTATTTTTCACTCTTGCAGTAATTACTGTGCAACCATTACAAAGTGGATGCCGTGTAACGCTTGCAGAACTGAGAAGAAAATGACGTACTTAAAATTGAGGATATTATTTGTGTTTACACAGACTCCTCAATCCCCAAGCTATTTTAAAACTGTTGTTGTATCTCAAGTGAATACACTGGGAATAAATACTCTGTCTACAGACCTACTCATGTATGCCATGAGCAGTTTAAAAGAAAGTCTCTTGTGCTTTTAACTCACATGCACTGCAGTGGTGTTGAGCAAGCATTTGTACAGACACACAGCATACAACAGGTGTGCATCTGCATGCATCCAGAAGTGAGAAGGACCTCAGGTCTTGCATCTGTGCTGGCAGCTTGAACAGAAGCAGACCTGCCTGGGAAGAATCACAATAAAAACACAGTTCTCCTTTCTATTTCCAGCGTGTCATGCTCCACTCTGTATTTCTATATTCCACTGCTCACCAACACCATCAGGTGATGAGAAGAGCCTGCAATTCACACTGAGAGAGGGTCAGATGACTTCCAAACCCTTGTATTAAAGCTTGGAAGAAATGATGATCTCCGGGCTAAATTAAGTTGCAATGGATTTCCTGCAGCTTGTGCAGGAGTTTGTGGAAGTTTCTTTGCAGAGGGTTCCACAGGTTTTTCCCAGAAATCATCACACATTTTAATTACTCCCTTCACACATCCGAGCACTCGATATCCAAGTCAACCTTCCAGGCAAGTATCTTTTTAATAAGCTTTCAGTTAAGCCTAGCAGTTTCCATTTCACCAGCCATTTACTTTCCCCATTAAACGGGCCTTTGTTCAAAACACTTTCACCATTATGCTTTTACAGGTACAAATTGCACCGGCTGCTAACCCCAACGAGCAGAATAACTGGATGTTCCTAATTACCACAACTGCCTAAGCAGAACAGTCAAACAGCATAAAGCTGTGCATACTGGTGCAGTTTAATTAGGTACCAAACCCCCCTACAGCAAGAGCACAGCATACCAAGGGAAAGCAAGATGCTGAAAAAGGGGAGACTGTGGCTGACAACTCAATATGGGTTTAGAGGAGGGTGTATACTTAATGTGTGACAGCTCCCGGGATGGCTTTGCTCCTTGCTGTCCTCCCGCTCTCTGGGTCACTTCAGACTACAACGCAGTCCCTACACAACAGCACCTCTCTCAGCAGGTTATTTACCCACCGTTTCCTTCTAGCCAGAACTCTTTCCATTTGAAGATCTTTCCTTACAGAGATGAAGCAGCCCTCAGATGAGGCCTGTCTCTGAAAAGCCTTTCAGTACTGGCACTCCCTGCAGGGGTAGCTTGGAGAAGTCTCATTCACCGCTTTAGTAAATGTACATGGTATGGAGGGCCTTGGCACAGGGATCTGCATTACATCATTTCAGAGACAGCACAACACATTCCTAAGAACAGGAATGCAGATCTGATCCCTGATCCAGAAACTCCTTTGATGAATCAAATCAAAGCAATCCACTAGTGAGACTGAGAGAATTAGTCTCTTTTCTGCAGTCAAGCTGAAGTGCTGCTGAGGACAGTAGTTCAGCTTGATCTGAGCCAAGGACCTCACATCAAACGCTGTACCAAGCATGAGTGCAGCACGCCTGCTGAGCAGCCGTCACCCCAGGAACAGCATCACATTCAGCCCAAGCTCTTACACACAGAGTCTTGGGACTTCACATCTGCACAGAAACACAGGAGAATACAAGCTATTTTTACCTGCAAAAGATGCAGGCGAATGGCACAACCACTACTTTACATTAAATAGTCTGGTAGTAAATGCAAAGGCACATTACCCTGAAGTTTTACTTTCACTCTGCTGCACAGCCTCCTGCTGAAAAGGCAGAATGCATTAGACAGAAACTAGTGAAATCACAGCAGCTGGCAGGGAAAGGAAGCAAAGCTTTCTGACAGAAAGGAAATCTGAGCTGGCACTTAAGGGCAAACTGGATGCTTCTACCACAGTAGTTAACAAGAGGCTATTGTAAGCATCATGATTATGCTTCAAAGTTAAAACCCCATTACCATAACAGTGGCAATACATACCTCTTCCAAAGTCACACTCCCGTAGAATTTGGCAACATTTACCTGAACCTGCAGTCACAGTAGATACTTTTCTTCACTGACCATCTGCACCTAGATGAAAGTGAAGAGCCTAGCAGCCACTCTGAGTAGCACACAGACATGTCACAGAGCGAAAAACTTGGTTTAGTTTGGAGAAGCTTCCTTAATTCCCAAAAGGTTTAAATGAAGGAGGCTCCCGTGCAACAAGCAGCAAAGGTGGCTTAAGCTGGGTGTTTCTCCTGCCCTCTGCATTTTGTATCCTCCAACATTTGCTACCGCAGTACTCAGTTGGACAGATTTTGAGTGCACGGTTCCATCATAAACATGAATGTATTTAAATGCCTCACCTCAGGAATGTGCACCATCACAGCAAAAACAAAGCTCTTACTAACAGTCCATTAACAAATAACATAATGATGTGTAAGGAACTGGTGCTCCTTTAAATAGAAACATTTATGCAATACAGCTGACAACTGTTGCGTTTATTAAGGAATTGTTTTGTGGGTGGGTTGTTTTTTGTTTTGTTTTTAAATAACAAACATGATACTTCTCTTCCAAATAAAAATACATAATGGAACGAAAACGTCAGCAGAATGTAAGAACAGATACATGGATGACTATGGACTGTTCTGACTTAAAGACCTGCAACAACAGATCTCCAAAGCCACTGCCAACCAGTCATCACACTCCAGAGGGCAGAGCCAATTTGTCCAGTGACCAGGACTGCAGAGAAAATTCCCACAGCCCATGCATCCCTGCAAAAAGCTCAAGCAGATGCACCTCCCATTCACACTAGTGACACAATGCTAACACATGTGAGCTATTTCAGTCTTCACAAGTCTCACATTTCATTACTCAGTGGTAATTCAGTAAATTATTCACACAAAGGCAGTTTAAAGCCAGCAAAGTGCAAGCTCTACCAGCACAAGTTCCTGTGCTTCCCGCTGCTGGGATGTGAATCTGGACTGGCTGTAGTGCATGCAGTGGAGTGCTTTTCTCAAGCTTCTTCAGGTAAGAACCTGAGAGCCTGCAATCACAAAGAGTTAAGATTTGTCCAACTTGTGCGTGCGCTCGTGCCTCCGTAGGGTACCTGACTCGGTGAAGGAATGCCCACAGTAATCACAAGAGTAGGGCTTCTCTCCGGTGTGGATGCGCTGGTGGCGCTGGAGCGAGGCCAGCCTTGTGAACGTCCCTCCACACTCCTCACAATAGAAGGGACGCACCCCAGAGTGAGTCTGCTGGTGTCTTTTCAGCCTGAGCAGCTGGACAAACGCCATGCCACATTCCTGACACTTATAGGGCTTCTCCTGCCGGTGGATCACTTTGTGTTTGGAAAGCAGGTTTGGCTTATCGAAACCTTTGCCACACGTTGGGCAGGCGTAAGGCTTACAGTCTTCTTCCTCAGCCTTGTGGCTGTCTGCACAAGGCTGATCGGTGTACTCAACAGTGTGCTGGTTACGGTGCACTATCGACCACGGGTTCCTAGCCATGCCGTTGCCTAAGATCACCATGGAGCGCTCTATCTTGTGCACATTGCGGAGGTGCCTCCAGACATCAGCCGTGCGAATGAAACCCTTGTCACACTCTGGACACTTGTGTGGCCTGTCACTGTTATGAATGAGCTTGTGCATGCGTAAGTTTGCCGCACGGAAGAACTCTTTGGCACAGACAGGACAGCGGTACGAGTTTTCCACGAGGTGAGTCCTCTTATGCTGCTGCAGCTCACTCGGCCCCTGGAAAGAGGCACCACATTTCTTGCACCGATAGGACAAAGCCTTCCCAGATGCAGGCTCTGAATCAAACACACCACCAAGAAGGGCATTTTCATTATCACCACGTGCTCTTCTCCGTGATCTCTTGGAGTGCTCAGAGGAACCACGCTGCGAGGTTTTATCTTCGCGCTGCAGGTCCAAGTTGGTACTGGAGGGGACAAATATCCCAGCTGTACTCTCACCTTGTTTCTGGTAATAGGTCTGATAGATTTCTTTGTCTTCACGCTGCAACTCTGTAGAAAGTTCCTGTTTATCTGATGGTCCTGCAGAGTTGCGACAAGGACTGAGCGTCTGTGAGTAATTCATGCCCACCTCCTCCTGGAGGCAAGACTTGTAGCCCACCTCCTTAGTGCTCTTTCTGGAATCATTTGACAGCTCCTCACCTGTATCACAAGTGCTATTTTCAGAGTCCCAGTCCACCTCCGCATCCATCCTCTGATGTGTGTGCTGTGTTTATCTGCAGCTCACTGATGATGCAGATACCGAGAGCGCCAAGACTTTTGTGGTAAACCCATCTCATCCTCAGCTCACTTTACAAGCCCTTCCTACAAAATAAAACACATATTTCATCAGTGATTTTCTGATATTTACAGAAGATAAAATTAACACAGTGAAGTTGTTTTAATTATTATTAAAATAAAGGGACAGGCCATTATTTATGCAGAAGGAGAAAAAAAAATCATCTACGTCGTAGATGCAGATTATATATTCAACATTTAGAATACACACAAACTATGTTGAAAAAGGTTAAATCTTCTGTCATAATTCAGCCTCCTAACTGTAAACTGTTCCATAACATACACTTTAAACTCACTTAAAGACAAGAAACCTTCAGAGCTAAAAGGTGCAAACAAACACTTTAGACAACATCCTGCATGTATCTCCCCACAAATCTTCATCCAAAGACTCACAATCATTTTTACCTTGCTAAATCAGAACCAGTTACAAGGTACTGCCTTTCAGTAAGTAGTTAAGAAATGCAACAAGATCAAGGGATGGTGTCAAACTGCCAAACTTGGCAGCAATAGAAGGAAGTACTGAAGGCCTATGGAAGGAACACACCTGTGCGAAAGGTGGGTTTGGGAAGTTCTGGAACACTTTTGGTCTACCATCCTATCACAGCATTCTCACAATCATCCTGAGGATGTCTGGGATACTATCAGCTGGTATCATGCAGAAAAGACAGTATATGAAGCAGCAGCACAGAGAGAAAGGCCTAACAGAGCTGTCCAGAAAGCTTCCTAATCATCTTCCTGGCCTTCAGAGCACCACAAGAATCCTCCAGAACTGCAATCTGCAGCAGCTTCAAATTCTCTGGGTAAACAGCCCTTGCTGGTAGAAAACACGAGCAATGGTAACTGGACTGAAACACTTGTTTGAGTCACAGATTTTCTTCTGAGGAAGCTGCTTTCATTTATGCCATACCAAGGTGTGGATTTGCAAAGGATTTCTAGGTTTGTCCCAGCGGCCTCTGCTGACAGCAGCTCCACAGGGAGCTTTCAATCACCTTGTTTAAAAACACACTGAATTGCTAATCTAACCTCAGAAAGCACATTTTCCCCCATCTCTTGTGTGCTCCTCATACCCCTACTTTCTCCTTAACATTCATTTTTCATATTCCCTTTACTCCCCCTGTTTCTTCAGCTCCTCATGGCTGCTTTTGTCTGGGTAAGACTTCTCTGAATATAAGCACATGTATATCCACTCAAATGCATGTAAGCATGTAAATACAGAATTATTTATGCGCATACATGTAAATATAATGCTCATCTATTTGGTTTATGTTTAAGTAGTTATAAAGGCAGTATAGCTACACGCTTTAAATGAAAGGCCCCATTCACATCTCTGAAAGGCCGGTTTCATTTGAAACACAAACTCTGCTTTCTTCTGCTGCAAACACAGAAAACAAGTCTGAATTGATCTTTAATCACTGCCTGGAACAGAATGGCTCAAGTCACCCATCAGCATCAACTGTTCTTACTAGCTCAGTAATGTCTGCATGAAAACAGGACTTACTCCTCACCTCCAGCAAGGCATGAGCACCACCAGCAGCACACCTGCAGCAAATCTGAAATCAGGAGTGAGTGGGGCATTTAAAAGAGCACTATTTCCATCACTGTAATGGCACCCCTTTGGTACATTGTAAAATTCCATTTGTCTTCTTAAAAACCACAGGAGGATAGCAGTCTGCAGGCATTTCCAGGCTCCTTTCCTCCATCCCTTACAGCCCATTTACAAGCCACCAATGTGAAGCAAGAACTTTCACCACTTGCCTATCATCATGCTTTAATTTTTTGGAGGCTCTGCAGCCCTCCCTCCTGTCTGTATTCCATGTCAGCACATTTTACTCCCACTGGCCCATTCTTACGATCAGCATCATTACTGTACTATCCAACACGAGGAGTCCAAACTCCAGACCCCATGAAGCCCTGCCACAAACCTCCCAAAAGCTTCTCTTCCACAGCCAGCAGCAGTTCCTGACCCCTCTCCCCTAGCTATTATGCATTCATCCCCTACTTACTGTACTGACCAGCACCATGCTCCCTGCAGTCATAATCACTCTCCAGCATCACCAGGTAATCTTGCAGAGATCACTGCTGCTTTCAATGTTATTCTGCACTCTGATCAGCCATCTCGGTGTATTTTCTTAACTGAGCTCACAGGTTTCCAAAATGGGTATCTACAATTAACAACAGATACAGAACTCAAAAACAACCAAGAATGTACATTACATGCCATATTTGCATGCTAGTAAGTTTTGCCATCTAGAAAAATCTCATGAAACCAGAAACTATTCTTCTAGGATACAGAAGCAAGGAGAAGAAATCTAACCACTTCCCTCACAAAAAAGTCATCTACTTTTGTACACGCAAGTGACAGTTTTATTTCTTTAGGCTAGGCACTTAAAAAAAAAAATAAAAAAAAATAGGCAACTTCCCCTTAATAATGGTTCTTCAATCTATGACAAACTCACATGCTGCATAACATGGAGAACCTTGCAGAGAAACTGCTGCCATTCCAACTCCTGCAACTAGGAAGGCACTCGTTTTTTCTGAATTTGAAGTCTTAAACATTTCTTACTGTAATGCAGTAGTTGGGCAGCAAAAGCTTTCTTCTACCTAGGCCAGGAACACAAACTCCCACACCTCCTCCCCATCTCCAACACAAGCACACAACCCTCCTCTCTGCTCATCAGCGCTCATTTCAACTGGACAAAGGACTTCCCAAATGACATTCATGAGGTTTCTCTAGTCAGTGGATCACCTTGTGTTTGGAAAACAGGTTATTAGGCTTACAAAAACCTTTGCCACACGTTGGACAGATGTATGGCTTACACTTTTTTTTAGGTTTATGGTCATCTAAGCACTGCTGATAAACGTTGTTCTCACTGTACTGTGTGCTTGAGACTATGGATTCCTAGCCTAAAATCTTTAACACTCTACCTTATGCACATTTCACAAGTGCCTCCCAGGTATCAGCCGTGTAAATGAAACCCATGTAACACTCTGGATGGCTGCATGGCCTGTCACTAGAATTAATTCACAGATTCGCCACATGAAAGAACTCTTTGACTCAGGCAAGACATCAACGTGGGTTTTCCACAAGGTGAGTTTGCTTGTGTTTCTGCAAACGACTTGCATCCTGCAAACAGACATCACACCTATTGGTTCTGTAAGTCAAAGCATCTCTACCTTCCAGGCCCTATTACAAAGAAGTAGAATGCTTTGATTAAGAAGAATGACCACCCTCGCTTACCCCTCCTTGAGGTTCTTCAGAGTAACAGCACTCTAAATGTTCATATTCACAACGCAGGTCGGAAGGTGACAAAAACCCCAGCAGTGGTTGAATCACGCTTCCAGTTGTAGGTTTCCAAGGTCAACTCCATCAGTTCTATGAGAATTTCTTCTCAATCTGAAGGTGCAGCAGGAAAGCACCTAGGAGCAGATAGCAGTCCATAATCTCCGATATTTGTTTGGAATTATTCAAGTATTCCTCACCTGTTTGAGAACTGTCATTAATAGAAACCAAGTCCATCTCCAACTTATGGTATCACATAGCACTTACTTGTTAGTAATTGTGGAAACAGGCAGTACGAATTCTCCTCAGATCCTTCATAGTTGGTTTCTTTCACATCAGCTTCCTTAGAAAAGAAACAAGAATTCCATTAAGATGCTAATTTAATTAAAAATACTTTTGAAGCGTTACGACCTAGGTATTACTACTATTCATAACGAATAGGTTAGGCTGAAGACCCAGAACAACACTATAAAGTAGACTCTTTTTCCTGCTGTTAGTCTGAGATAAGACAGAAGAGGACTTCTGCGTCAGGTAACACAACCAGCACGTACACACCTCAACACTTACACCCACAGAAATATCAATATGCTCAAACAACTTATGAGCACAATCCTCATACTAGCCTCTTGTTTTCAGTAATTAAGAACAGGCCTATCTGCTAATGTTTCCCTTTAAATCTAAAGCAAAAAGAGCAACATGAAAAATGAAATTCAGAGGTCTTATCACATGCATACTGGTCTTCAGACTAATATGCTTGGCTCTACCAAGTTCTTATTTTTATATTTTACTCCTAATAATGAGGTATTTTAAAACACAGCTTGCCTCCTACTTCATATGTGCTATTTATGAGCACACGATTTCATTAAATTCTACATTCCAAGCATTTTCCATCAGCCTTGATATTATTCCAGCCCAAATAAATAAGCCCTAATCAAGGGGAAGGAGGCAGATCTCCTACCAAAGCTGATTATAACACATGCAACATGCTCCAACCACAGAAAGGGACAGAGGGCAGTACAAAGTTCTGCAGCACAGTTCAAAGAAGGCTCATGAGGTGATGCTGTCCTCTCTCAAATCCCAGGCACCGCTCCACTACCTAAAGCCTGCTATTACAAGATGCTTTTCCACAAAGCCCTCTCTTTAGGATCTTCCAGGTCTTTGGGTCCCACTCAGATGGCATCTCACAAACAAGACATCCAGATGAGAAGAGCACACGGAGAAAACAAACCCTAAGCACAGCCAGTGTGAGGTACTGTTATCAGACCATAGAACGGCTTAGGTTGGAAGGACCTTAACGATCCCCCCACGGGCTGGGGACCAGCTCAGGCTGCCCAGGGCCAACCCACGGCCTGGGGCACCTCCAGGGATGTAACTGTCGGATTATTAGGGCGACTCAGGAACGCCTTTGATAACAGACTCAGACCTACACTGAGCACGAAGGCTTTTCTCTGCGCAGTCCCATAAACCACACGCAGGACGCTTCGAGCCGTGCCCCAGGAAAGTACGCACTCTGCAACTTTGGTGGGTTTGTCGGTCTATTTTTAATATACATACATATTTTGCTTTAAAAGAGACCTGCAGGAGCATCCCTGCCCTCAGCTGCTCCACCCGAGCCCAGCTCCCAGGCAGCCCGCAGCCCTTTGTTCCCCGCTGCCCGCCCTCTCCCCCGGCCAGCATGGCCAAGCACAGCCGGAGCGCTCTCCCCGCCCTCTGCTCGGCCCGCACACCCCTCCGCCCTCAGCATCCCCTCACCGTGCGCGGACGGCCGGGCCGGGCGCTGTCCCCGGTGGCCTCGGCCCCGCGGGCGGAGCGAGGGTAGCGGCACTCAATGTCCGGCCCGGCCGGCGGCCGCCATGTTGTGCCGGGACCATCGGCGGCGAGTGGGCAACGGCCCGCCGTCGCTGTGTGAGCGCCGATGTCCCGCCCTTTTTCTGACGGACCAATCGCCGGGCGCAGATCGCTTGACTGGCAGCTATAGCCACCAATCGCTACGCAAAGGGGTGGGGGCCGGTCGCTCCTCTTACCACTGTGACTGACACAGCGCTGTCACACCTCCAGAGTGACTGATACTGCCAAAAACAGCCCCCTCACTCCTCCTGCGTTACCGACACAACCACAGACCGCCCCGTGACACCCTCATGGGACGAGCACTGACAGGGACCAGCCTCTGTCCCAACCCCAGTGTGAATGGCACAGTCACAGACCAGCCCGTCATCTCCAAAGCGTGACTGAAATCCTGAGATCGATCTGTGTTACTCCCCCAGAGCCGCTAATACAGCCCCAACGTGACGGACACTGGAGGGACCGCCCCTCAGTGTGATTGATCCAGGCATGGACCACCCCCATCACACCCTTCAGTGTGACTGACACAGACAGAGACCACCCCCATCACACCCCCAGTATGACTGACACAGACAGAGACCACCCCCATCACACCCCCAGTGTGACTGACACAGACAGAGACCACCCCCATCACACCCCCAGTGTGACTGACACAGACAGAGACCACCCCCATCACACCCCCAGTGTGACTGACACAGGCAGGGACCAGCCTTGTTCCTCTCTGAGCATCACTGAGCCCTTTAGACAGGTGCCCATCACACACACCTGTCAGGTGCAACAGCCAGAGACCAGCCTCTGCTCCAGTCCGCAGCATGACTGACACAGCGACCACCCTTGCGCCCAGACCCGTCTCACTGCCATGCATCTGACAGAGACGAGCCCTGTACAACCCCTCCAGGCTCACTGACAGTGCTCCTTATCACTCCTGCAAGGCCAGAGAGACCAGCTCTGCATGCATCCCTTCAGAGTGAATGACACGCAGCTGCAGCTAGACTGCCACCCAGGACAACCATCCCACTGGCACACCAGCCCAAACCTGATGGCAGAAGAACCCCACCTCTGCCCAACAGGGATCAGGCAACTGTCACAGCCTTTTATAGCCACAAGGTCCCCTTCTGAAACAGCTGGTGGCACAGTCGCTCGGTCAGCCCATGGCCCTCATCACAGCTAAGAAAGCTAGAGAACAGCTGGGGTCACACCAGGCATCAAAAAGCACAACAGGGGATGGCACCACCACGCTCACAGAAAGAGCAGAGTGTTCTTTAACACACATGTAATAACCCAGGATGGCTGGATGCACCATGGACACTCACCACCAGCAACCCCAGAAGCAGTTCCCCCCAGCAGGGTCAGCCACGTGCCACGATTTGTGCACAACCACCTGCACTACCCACAGAACGGAGAAATGACGCTGTGAGAGCACTGTGTGTATATGAGCAATCCCTTAAATATACTAGCTGAATGGGAGAAGCCTCCAGATCCAGGACTTTTTGCTAAATCAAATCAGGGGTATGATGCCTGTGCTATGCAGATGAGCTGTCATATTGTCTCCCACACAAGATCGTCTCCAAAGGAACCTACACCTACTGCAAATATCCTGCAGCATATGGACATTTATAGGTCAACCTGGAAAAAGTGAGAATAATGGCTGTCCAAAAAAAGCAGGAGCCCAAATAATTTTCCAGTGTTATTTTGGAAAATGCAGACGAGGAACAGGGTGAAGTATGCATACCTGAGAGCTATTAGAAAATGTCAGATTGCCTCTAAAACACATTAGAAGGAAAAATGACTCCAGCTTTCTTGTGCAATAAAGGAATGCAGTAAGTAAATAAGATTCCCTAAGAAAAATCAGTACTGGAGTGGCTTTGAAAATATACTTTAACCATCTGTTGTGGTGCGGATGGAGTCTGAGGCCTCACCCTAGAAGCCAGGAGCACCACAGGGCTGAAACTCAGACACCTTCACTGCAGGAACAACCTTGATGTATAACCCAGGATCTCCTTTCATAACAATTTCCGAGCAAACCCAGAATGTTTGTTACCCTTCTCTATATGGAGCTAGAAAAAAAAGAATAACTTCTGGTGCCAACTCTGTGAAAACAACACATGTGTCTTGACAGCATAGCGTTAGATGATTTAAAAATGAAGACTGATCAACAATGCAATATTCTGGGATATTCTGCAATATTGTGGGAGAAAGGGAGCTGGCAGCCCCCCAGGTCTGTTTGCATTTCCAAATTCCCCTCTAGTGCATACCTGCTACACGTCCCAGTTGTATGCACCATCCTCAGCCTATTTTTCCCCAGCTTCAGCCTCTGAAAAGAGCTGAACTTCCCGTTGACTAATGTGTCTGCTGGAGAGCCGAGATTTCTATAATTAGCAGCAGAGAGAATTCGGGGAGGAAGGTGGATTTTCTGGGGGGGTAAATTTGGATGTCGCACATTTAAAAACAAAACGCTTTACTTAAACATCAGCACATCGGTTCATAATTGCGGAGCAGGGAAGAAGAGCACGTCAGCAGTTGGAGAAACATTGAATTTGCAGGGAAGCGACTGAAGCGTTTGCACAGAAGGGGGCAAATGGAGATAAGACAGGCTGTCTTCTGCTTGCATTCCGCTGTCAGGAAATTTGCACAGCAGAGATTTATCCTTTTTAAAGGAGCATGGAGGAGAAAAGGAAAGCTGTAGAAACACCTGCTTTCCCTTCTCTCCTTTCTGTAGGGTCACAGGTTCATTGGGCCTGATGGTTTACACCAGGATAATCCCACTGGAATCTGCACATCCACTTGCAGGAGTGTGCTGAGATCCATCCTTACAAAGGTTGCAGTGTTCAAGGGGGAGAATCCCTCTGCCTTACGCTGTGAGGATGACCAAGGTGCCCATGTTTGCAAATTTTTATGAATGTATTTCCCTAGAACAGTAGAATCATTAAGGCTGGAAAGACTAAAATCATCTAGTCCAACCACCAGCTCGCCACCCTGCCACTAAATCATGTCACTCGATGTGACATCTACTATTCTATGAACACCTCCAGCAGTGGTGACAACACCACCACCCTGTGCAGCCTGTTCCAATGCCTCACCAAAAGTGAGTCAAGACATACCAACTCCTCGGCCAGCTGTTGAGCCAAAAGTGGATGTTTTTTAAATTCCTGCTGTCTGCCATCTTCCATAAAAGAGAAATTTGAAGTTGTAAGGGTCTAGGCACACTTGGGGCAGTAGAGAATCTTCTTCACAATACATTGCCTTCACTGAGCGAGAGGTGAATCTGTGCTGTCTCATGTGTACAAGATGGGCATGGAAGTACTGGCAAGCTTTGTGCAGCATCACAGCTTTCCAGGCTGGATTGCTCCAGCGTAATGCCCTCATACTGCCCACAGCATGCTATCAACAGGACAAAGAGGACACCCAGCTATGTGTGAAATGCACAAGTGCCACAGCAAAACCCTTCTTACCCGTGAGGGGCTGAAGGTCTGGTTTGGTTTGTACTTGGCTGCCATCCCAACTTCAGGTAGAACAAACTCAGCACATCTCCTTATACCTGGGAGACAGCACAAAACACCCGAAATAAAGGCATCAATTCTCCATGTGGTGGGGAAGCAAGCCTAGCTTTTAGAACTGTCTGCAAGATGGGAGCAAATGAAGTCCTGAATGAGTGCACAAGGGAACAGAACATAATAAAAACGAGACAGGTAATCGCTGACAGATTATCTGGAGACACAGCCTAATACAAAACAAACCAGGAGAGATTGCTTAAAAATATCTGATAAGTGAAGCACTGCTCTGGTGCTGAGTGCAACAGTGTTCTTGACACCTTCATATTTGCTAACTGGAAACTAGCAATTATTCAGATTAAAAAAGCATCACTTACATGAATCCAAGTAGCATTCTTTGCATTATTTTATGTATCTGTCCTATACAAATGCCTCTGTGACTTTGCATGGAAAGAAAACCTTACTTGATGTAAAATAATCCACTTGCTGAGTAAAATTCAAGTTATCCAACATACTTTAGAGCTTTTTTCCTTTTCAGGGAACTGAAACACAAGGTAATGAATCAGAAAACATCTAGAAAAGAGGTCAAAATGGTCAATCTTGCTCAGATGAAGAATCCACTGGTTATCTGCCCTAGATTTAATTAGTGAAAACCACAAGGACTGCCTAGCTCAGCGCAAAGTTTCTGACCAGAGCCAATTTCGTATTTGACAGGATGAAATACCACTTACTTAGAAGAACAAGCTACATAACATCTACTAAGCATGCATGAGCCATCGGAGGGGCAATGGCTGTGCAAAACCAGCCCCATTTGGACGAAATATATTTGAGAGATCCGACCAGCACGGCACAGCCTGCAGGCACATTGCTTTCAGATACCAGGGCTTCCCCAGAGCACAGTTCTGCCTGCTGCGTCCTTTGGGGGTGACTTTGAAACCAAAGGATCACGGGTAACGCAAAGCAGCCAACATAATCAAAGCCACTGTCATATGTAATAAGTTCCAGATTCCCAAACTGCTTATAAATACATGGTAGCCACATAAAAATTAATGACCCATTGATTGCAAACAGCAAACTACAAGGCAGAAACAGCTTTGTTGATGTATCTATTTGCCATTCTCTGCCCATCTTCACACTAAAAATGTTTCTGGTTACGGTTACTGTTAATTGCTTTTTATCTCAGCAGCAGAGCTAAGAGGTTTCAGCTGAGATGGAGTTTCACTCTCTTAGGCAATTACACAACCATCCAGATGCACAGAAAATCCCTGCTTTGTAATCCTGGCAAGGCAGAGTGCAGCAAGGTGTCTCAGGCCTGAAGAGAGGCTTCTGATGTAGAAAAAACACATCTGGTTGACCAAGGAAGCATCCGGGGAGGAAAAAACTGAATTACTCCTCCTCATGCTTCATCTGCCACAGCTCGTGGGTTAAGAACCCAGCCACGGTTGCCTGAATTTTAGCTCATCAACAGCAAGACACATGGTATTTTCAGACACACCACGTCTTCCAAAGACGTTCCTCCTAAGGAGGGCTTCCTCGTGCGGTGTCATTATCTCCGACAGATTTGCTTTGGAAATTTCCTCTCGAGGCTCCTCCAAGCTGACAAGTGAATTCTCTGCATTGGAAATATTTGTTCAGAGGCTGCCAGGCTCATCAGTCACTTCCCGGAGGAGGAGGCGGTCCGGGGGGGATTCTGCTCTTCCCGCTCCTATTGCCCCTGTAAAATGGCTTCATTGAGTCAACCATGTGCCTGGGCCACTTGTCTCCCCTGCCAGCAGCCACCCACTGACACAAGGAAGGTTATTTTAGTCCTATTTGGGCAGAAGGGAAGAATAAAGGACCTCCCAGAGTAGGATGGCTCGACACACACTTTTGGCCTGATGGTAATTCTTCATGAACCGTAGACGTGATTTATGACATCTCCGTAGAGCATCACAGGTGGACAAGGAGAGGATGACCCAATCTCAGGAGGGTGGGTGGCCAAAGGCCTCTGACAGCTCCTGATCTACTTAACGAAAAGCTCCTTCTTACAGTTCTGATTGCTTCTTCATCAGTCATTGTTAACGAAGCACTTAGCTACCTTATCTCTGAATGGCAAGATTCCTCGTGTACCCATAAATCAGCCTCTCTCCAGCAAGAAAGCTCCATTTTCACCTCACTAGCTCTTTCTGAAAGCAAAGGCTCCTCCACATGAAAGAAAAAAAAAACCCTTCCCATTTTCCTTCTCAGACATGCCATGCTACTCTCTTCCCTTTCATATGTTATTTGTTATTTTTCATACTGTGTTCGCCAATTATTGAAGTGGTTTTGCTTAGACAGAGACAAGCAGAGCACAGTGTAGCTTCTTCCTCTTGCTTTTTCATCTCTTGTGATTTTGTCATACGAGTGGAAATTTCATTTGTTCTCTTTGAAAGATGGCTGAGGACTCATTTGTCATGATTATTCCACTTTTAAGCTTGTGCTGCTCTGCTACACAGCTGAAACCAAGCAAACCAGTGGTGAACATAACAGGTTATGAGAAAAACGGTTGTCAGCTCTTCCTGCCACCAAAGGTACCGTGCTGGATTTTCAGCCTTGCCACTGCTGCTGCGTCTATGGTTTCTAAAGCCAAAAAGATGAAGATTCATTAATTAACAAAAGAAGCTGGCAGATAATTTCATGATTAAGGCACTGGAGTGGGACCTGGGAAAAGTGGGTTGATTTCCCAGTCCTGGGTTGGTTGCTATGTGATCTTATTCAAATCAGCGCGTGGAGATAAATGCTCAACGTTGGCATTGCCTGCTCCCCATCGGCTCCAAGTGCTGTGGGTAGGGGCTGCTGCACAGGATTTTTCTCAGTATTAACAGCTGAAGTCTCTCCGTTCCGCTGGGAGACAAATGAAAATAACCCCCAAACTCTCCTTGCATTTCTTGTTACTCAACCGGCCTTCCTTCAAGGTCGTCATTTTTTCCAGAATCTCCCGTGATTGACTAAATAACTGCTTTTAATATGTTGGGGTTTTTTTCTCTTTTTTCCCCTTTCTTCTGTTTCCTAGTGAATGCCTTTACCTTCTGTCTGTTGCAAATGTGAACGGTTTTAATTAGGTGCTGTTGAAATGTCTTTTGCAGCTTGGCATCCTGTTCAATTTTGCTCCTCTCGTTCTCTTTGCAGTTCTGTTCCTTCCCACATTGCTTATGTTTTCTTGTTTGTGGACTCTTCTTTATATGCATAACTCAATCGTGCTGCACTTCAATTTCATCTCTAATAAGCATAAATAGGGAAGAGGACAGATAAAGCCAATCTCTCCAGATGCTCCTCAAATATTCCTCTTTTCCTATGGCATATCCTTCTAATGTTTGAGGGCTTCCAGAGGGACTCAAGCACAAAACACCTCAGCCACTCAGCTCAATGGATTTGTTGTGCTTTCAATTATCTTCTTAAATGACATCATTTTTTTTTCCCTACAACTTCACAGAACGTACTAAGCCTTTGAGTAAGGTCCTTAAAAACAGGGAATTTCTCAACTAACTTGTCAAAGAACCATTAAAGCCATTCCTTCATCCCTTCCCATTGCTGTTCTGGAGTTGATGAGCCCTGGAATTCTGGTTTTGCCAACCCTTAAATGAGGTCTGGGAGGGTGGATCCTGGCTCCATACCTTCTGGTCACTCAGATGCATTGCACACACCTGAACTCCCCACGTTGGCCCTGCCTTCCCACCAGGTGCTCAATCACTGCTTCAGGCCATGAGTGTTTCTGGTACATCTGCTTACATTCAGGTTGTCTGGGGAAGTCAGTAATTTCTACTAAGCTGTACTCTGCATTCACTTCCAGGTTTATAAGAGAAGACAGAGTTTCACTTTTTTACTTCCTGACCTCCAGCAGCAATACTGCAAAAAACATAAGAAGCAGGGATGGAGTGAAGTGTGACAGTCTGGCAGCTCACCTCTCCAGCACTAGGACACAATCAACACCACGCCAACCCACCCCAGATGGAGGTGCTCCACACAAAAACCTTTTGGAGCCTCTCACACAAGCTGTTCTAGCGTGTATGCTAAACCTTTTGTGACCACGTTTCCTTTCCTCACCCTATTGTGTTCCTACTGCATATGCTCTGCTATCATGCAAGCCTACAGCATCTTCTCCCACCCAAAGCACGTGCAGCGGATGTGAATTTAAAAGCATGCATTCTGCTACCAGATCTCCCTGCTTACAGTCTTATATTCTCCTCTATGATTGCTGGCTTCAGCCAATCCTTTTAGCAGAGAAGCAGCAGGAAACATGCCCTCTGAGCAGCCTATGTTGGGGCTGAAGTCAGCTCCCCCAAGAAAAAGACATCTGAAGAGCCAGGATTAGCAAGATCCAGACTGTAAGAAAGGGCATGGTAAGATGAATTTTATGATAAGTGATAAACACAGAGCCAATCTTGAACACACTTTGTCCTAATGTTGGCACTGGTCAAAAAACAAAGAACACTGCTTGGCTTTAGAGTGTTCACACCACCCTTGGAGGTGCTCTGAGGAGGGTTTATCCTGTCCTTGGGAAGCACACATATCTTCATGGAAGCCCCAGCATAGCTGGCCAGTGAGAGTTTCTGTTCTAATGCTTCCCAGCACAGGCGAGTCTGTCTTTTCTACTTTGTCTCATCAAAGGAAATGAGGACACACAATGAGCATCCCCAGTGAATGGCACCTCATTCCTCCAGTGCTCCCAGCTCCCTCCCCAGGAGATGCCTGTTGAATTTCATTCCCTTCAGCTCTTAAGCACTTATTGGAAAAGCAGCAGCCAAGCACTGCAAGCTTAGAGATCCGTCCTAGGCTGACTGTAAAAAGGAAATGGGGTAACAGGTGATATTTTAGCTGCAGCAATGAAATCCATGTCCTAAAATTCAATTCTTTTGGCTGTATTTCTTAGGAGGATAGAAAGCCTCAATCTGACCTGTGGCTTGGGTCCTTATTTCACATGTCCTTTCTGCTGCAGGTGCCAAGACACCAGATGTGGCTCGGGGGATGTGGTAGTTGAGGCAGGAGCAGAAGGCTTTGTGAAACACCTCTCCGCACAGCTTCCTGCTCAACTTTTCAAGCACAGTGTTGAGGTGACCTCCAGCATCACCAGGCACATTGTTTACCTGGAGCCACCTCTGACACACTGCAGGTTGCTCATGCTTAAATGAAATAAGAGAAGCCCTGGATAACTTGGTTCTGACAGGTGCCATGACATTTTCTTTCTACTAGAGGAAACCTCAAAGACGTTCATGCTTGATGAGGTCTGACTGTTTCCATGGTTCACGTTTACAAAGGAAATAGGTAAAAATACCCACAACTGGAGGGGAAGAAAAGGAAGCCTTTGTTCTGCAAGTAGTGAAAACCCTTGCTTTAAGAATTAAGGCAGTTAGAATTAGTGGTTGCTTTTCCAAGTCCTGGCCAAACAGCTGCTGTTTGACATTTGTGAGCAAAGTCACCGTACAAAGAGGATGTGTTTGGAAGCAGAGTAGAGCTGCATGCAGGAGGAGAAAACACATGGCTCCTTCCAGCCCGGATTGTGTCACGTACTGCATGTCTGGGTGGTAGAGCTGAAAGCATCACATCTGACATGCTCGCTGGCTGTGGGAAGGCAGCTGGGGCAAGGCAGGTCATAGAGTCAGAATCATTAAGGTTGAACGAGATCACTGAGATCAAGTCCAACCATCAGTCCATCCCCACCACGCCTACCTAGCATGCCTCTCAGTGCCTCAACAACACAGTTCTTAAACACCTCCAGGGATGGTGTTGTAGAGAGCTGCCAGAAAAATTGGTTGTGTTAATGCCAGTGGCAGGCTCAGCCTGAGCAATTTTGTGGTGAACTCCTGCAAAGGAAAGCTCGAAAGAGGATGCTGGGCAATGTGCGCTTAGTTTTCCCTGATCCTAGGTCAAATCAAAAGCTTGTGGTAGATCTGCACAGCATCACTGTTCCATTTGCATCAGTGGAGATGCAAAGAGCAAGTTCTAATCTGTTGAAATGACAGGCTGCCTAGAGAAGTTGTGGGTGCCCCACCTCTGGATGTATTCAAGGCCAGGTCAGATGGTGCTCTGGACAGTGTCATCTGGTGTATGATCTATTGGGTGGCAACCCTGTCTAAGGCAGGGGGTTGGAACTGGGTGATCTTTGAGGTCCCTTCCAACCCAAGCTGTTCTATGATTCTAAGGAAGTCAGCCCCAACAGGAGAAGGCAGTTAGCTGTGCCAACATAATGGCAGGGAATCCTTATGGGTGAAGATGACTTGCAGAGATGAATCCAGGGTGGTGCTGGAGATTAAGTGCATGCCACTAAGCTAATGAAAGCTCAGCCTGTGTTTCCAGAGGGGCTTTCAGCAGCATCAGCAATCAGTGCCCCTGCTAAGATGGTGAGAATAATGGGGCAGCTGGAAAACAAGATGCCAGCAAGCAAGAAATGCTCAGCAATGAAGACAGATGACTGCAGGAGAGTCTTAAAATAACGTTGACATGCTGGAGAAGAAAGAGATGGAGATGAAGGCAGAAAACCAACCTGTTGGATCAGTTCCCTTCCCCATCACAGGGTAATGCCCCAAGTTGTCTAGCTACAATGAAATGAGCTTGATAGCAGCTTAATTAGAGTAAAAAGTTGGGAAAAATAAATAAAAGATGTAACTTTCTATGCAAATGGAGAGCAAGTAGGTCCTCAAAAATCTTCCCTGGTGAGCAAACAGAGCCTGCTGATCCAGGAAGAAGGAAAGCAAGGAGGAAGGAGTGCCAGGAGCTCCCAACACAACACAGGTTGGACTCCTCTTGGACCACCCACAGTCCATGCATGGTAGCCTCACGCTCCTTCCCCACGCAGCATGCCCAGCTGGCAGTGAGGAACCAGACACCGCCAGCTCCTCGGCTTCATCAATATTTCAATGGATATTGGTTTTTACTGTAAGAGACATCACTTCTTGTTAATTTGAGTGCTAGAATGGCACTGGCAGGCAGAATACTTTGGCTCCAAACAAACCCCGAGGGAAAAAGGGAAATATATTCCTAAGAACAACAATTGGAAAGAATCTAATTCAATAATAGATTCGGTTTGGTATCGTTCTGGCACCAGCAGTCGTCTTCCTGTTATTTTTAGGTTCTGATGACGCCAACAGGTTTGATTTTTTAATTTTTTTAAAAATTGTTGCTGTTAAGCAAAAAAAAAAAAAAAAAAAATTCCATAGTTTAATCACATTGAATGAAACCGTAATTATTTTTAGAATTTAAGGCTTTGTACATCTAGATCTTCAGCAAAACATGCAGAGGTTTGCCTGAGCCCAGAGAGAAGGATAAGGCTGCTTCTTTGGCTTTTGGAGACAAGGACAGAAAACAAATATGTTTTTCTAGCAAGAGACTAACAGGGTTTTAGATGAAGCATATTACACAGCCCAAGAGGCAGAATTTATGTTTATAAACACAAAACAAACATCAAAATCATCTCTTTTCATGTGACAGCTCCTTTCATTGTGTTTTATCCTTCCAAGGAATTAGTCACAGAGGTATTTATTTGGGATATTAGCTGCAATAGCTACACAAATAGGCACCAAACATTACGAATGCTTGGCCCCATATTGTTTGTGACTTCCACTAGGTCGTGAAATACTTGATCTGTGAAAAAAAAGCCTGTTCTGAAGAGAGTTTCCCCATGACTTCCTTTGCTTTGTGCATCACGAAGGCATTGTTTGTGCACTGTGCAGCAGAGCAGGGGCTGCAAATCCAAACTAAGTCAGGAGGGCTCCCAGGAGAGACAGGGTAAGGGAAGTACATCAGCATCAGCCCCACTCTTGGAGTGCAGCAATGGAGAAGAGCTGTTCCTCTTGTACCCCAAACCAACCTCAAGCGCAGCCAATAGATGAGGCCTGATGAAGGGTTGCTCACCAAAGGGATACTCACCTCGCTCCAGGTCCAACCCAGCTGATGTCTACGGTTCCCAGAAAGAGGACAGAGATTTCTTATTCATCAATGGAAATGCCTGCTCTCATGTTTCATTTCACTCCTGTTTTGGGAAAGGGATGAGAACAATCCCATTATTGGTCTTAATGATAAACTTGAGAGGAAGATCGACAGAAAAAAAATCGACCGAAAAATGCCAAAACAGAGTGAAGAGCGAATGAGCAAAAGAGCAAAGGGAGGGATCTCTTTGAATGCACCCATCTCTCCCCAGGATATGTTGGCCAAGGGAAGAACAGTGAAGAAACAAACCCATCAACTCCTGGGAGCTCCGTGCCCTCATTCAGTGATGACAACCTCCAGACCAAAAAAGGACTATCATCCAGAGCCACCCAAATTGACAGTGAAACTCTCCCAAAAACCATTTGTGTTGCTGTAGGCTTGGCCATACCCATCATTCTGCGAAGGCTCACGGATACAACGACAGAGGCACACCAAACCCCCACAAATAAAGTAATTTGTTCTTTGGGTCAGCACGCTCTGAATCTGCTTGTGGGATTTACTGCCAGGCTTGAGGCATTTTCTGTTCTCGCTCGAGCACTTGGTATGAAGAGACATTGGTTACAAATCTGCTTGCCTATGAGGAATGAGATGCAAACCATAAACTCCTGTTTTGAAGAGTTTGTTCAGCTAAGATGTCACTTGTAGGCTCTGAGTTATACAAGATCTCATTTTTCAAAGGTTAAAAAGAAAGGACTCCTGAACTCTTTCCAGTTTCTGCTTCTTTTTTCCTGTTTTTCTCTCTTTAAAAACAAAAAAAATTACAATTACAAAAGGTATTTGCAAAACATTTTTTTTTTTCCCGGATAGCTTCTGGCTGCTTTCATGCTGAAATTTGGCAGTCAGCATGCATTTCTTATTCAAGAACAGACATAGATTCTGCACTTTAAAACTTGAGGTGGTTACAGACCCAAGAGATTTTTTTTCCCTTTTCAAACCTGCATTAAAAACTGTGCACAACCCTTTTTTTTTTTTCCTCCTCGTTGTTGTTTTTAAAGAAAAAGCTACAAGGACGTGTATTAGCAACAGCCAATTAGCCCCACATTGCCTGGGCAGCTCCTGCAGAAAGTGTTTTTTAATCAGTAATAAAATCCTGGGAGATGATGAATTTCTACAGCGGGACATTTTAACAGCGAGGAATGAAATGGCTTCAGATGTAGGATGGGCTTTATACAGCTGTTGGGCACCTGATCAAGGACAGCCCTACCTGGGGCTGCACTGTGTGCTTAGGGGCTGGTGATGGCGCTGTAGGGTGAAGGACCTGGGAGCGGGAACAGCGAGCTCCTGGTCTGATCCTGCTTTCACATCTATCCATCACCTTTCTCCCTGGAGCTACAGGGAGGCACACGCATCTAATTTTACACTTGAAGTGGTAGAAATGGTGGCTGCTCTTTCCGCTTCCCCACAACAAACACTTCTGCAGATTGTAAATCCTACACCCCCCAGTAGCTGGTTTGATATGCACAGCTTCTTAGTGCTTGCTCGGACCAGTGCCTTTGGGTAGCTTTGAAAAATATGAGAAATTAACATTTGAAAAGGTATTCCCACACACTCTTTGAGCAGGAAACGTGGCTTCCTTCTCCACCCACTTTATCGCTAAGCAGCTTGGAGATGCATAATGGAGACTTTCACGGCTGCTGTGGTTTAAAACCATCAGCCAGGCTGCGATAATCTCTGGAGCTTGTCTTTGCTGAGGGAGAAAACTGGATGGGGAACAGCACCTAGATACCCATGGATTGTCTCTGCCACTGCTGAGAGCTTTCTATAGACCTGTGCTTCATACATCCTTGAGTCCATGTGTGTAACCAAGCCGTGGGCAGTTTGAAGCTGCCTCCTGAACAGGCCAGTTTGCTTTCCATTGCTTCCCCTTAGGGCATTATCACATGAACATGCCTGGTTTGGGTCTAGAACCCATGTTAACCCTCCTCCTTGTGCTGACAGGCAGCTTGACTGGAGCTAAGCTGGGGTAGCACAGGGAAGGAACCAGCGAGATCTTGAGACAAAAAGTCCAGGAAAGGGCTGTTATAGAATCATAGGAACATTAAGGTTGGAAAAGATCACTAAAATCATTACATACAACCATCAATCCATCACCATCAAAGCTTTATGGGCAAAAAGCCAGCAAGTGTTTTAGATGTTCTACCACGCTGAACATAGATGCAAAATTTCAACTATTAGAGCACAAAATCTGTGAGCCAAACCTCTACTGAAGGACACATTTCAGTGCAGATATAACCTGGTACCTTTCTGGGAGAAAAAAAAACCAAGAAAAACAGCCCCAGTTTGCCATCCAGGCCTCAGTGTTTCCTTGCCCATTTTCTCATGTGCACCAATCTGCCAAGCCAGATGTACAAATGTTTTGTGTGGGCAAACAGGCACTTGTATGGGCAAACATTGCCCTGATGCGTGCGTTCTCATGGGCATGAAATCAGGCGGTGCACAGAGGCAACAAACAGCAATGGGGCTCCGGGGGGACACGTCACAACCTCGTGTTCCCAGCAAGTTGAACTTTGCTGGCATTGCCACACAGTTGATTAGGAGAAATGCCTTCTCTGAAAGAGCAGAGGTGCACTGGCACAGGCTGCCCAGGGAGGTGATGGGGTCACTGTCCCTGGAGGTGTTACAGAACCGTGGGGATGTGGCACTGAGGGACATTGTTACTGGGCACGGTGAGGGTGGGTTGGGGTAGGACTTGGGGATCCAAGATGTCCTCTCCAACCTTAGTCATTCTATGTTCTCCATAAAAGCCATGCATCGCATCCATGTGGCCTGGTGGTGGAAAAGATGCTCTGCTCATCCAGGTCGTGAATTCCTGCCCTCCTCAGCCTAGGGAAGGGCACAGCCAAGCACCAAAGTGCTATAGCACCCTAATATGACACACATAATGGCTTATCTTCCACCATCTATGAATAACCTTGTACAAGCCTTTAAAAACAGGTGTGAAGTAATGCATTTGCTATGCTTTCACAAGCTAATTGGGAGTATTACAACAAATGACTAGGTAATTAACCAGTGTTTCAACTCCAGTAATCACATATTGTAATTCTAGCAGAGCCACAAAGGCTCTAATATCAACTTGGTTTGGGAAGAAAGCAACATTAAGTTACATTCTGAATGCCTGTTCTTAAGACAAATACCATTGCCCCAGGAAGAGCAGTGGGAAGGGAGTGCTTTCCACGCTTGGAAGGACCTAGCAATCCCCACATTTCAGCCCTGCCACCTACACTGGAGCAGCCCAAGTATGAGCAGCGTTCAGCTTGGGCTCATCTCAGCCTCCTTTCCCACCAGCAGGGCAGGACTGAGGGATGCCAGCACAGGGATACCTCTGCCAAGGCAGCTGAAGCAGCTCCCCGTGCCCAATCCAAATCTCATCCATCCTTCACTGATCTCTGTTCTCTCCTTCTTTCCCAAGCAGCGAAGCAAAAGGGAAAACAGGGGCTCTGCTACAAGCAGCACCTGTTTCCATAGAGATTTGCTTAGAAAACATGCGAGGCAGAGATGGAGGTTAGAGAGGAAGGCACCATGGCTTGTCCTTGTGTATCACAGACTCTCGCTCGCTGGCTATCCTGCTGCTCCAGTGTCTAAAGATGGAGATAAAGAGTTTCCTTGGCCCTGCAGAAAGCAGGGTTTTCTGATTCTCCCAGCAAACCTCGGTGCCTCGGGAGGAGATAAAAGCATGGATGCAATTAGAGTCTCTCCTATTTGCCTTTAATCAGCTCTCCAAAGAAACAGAGGTTTCTTAGAAAATCATTGCAAACTCTTGATTGCTTCCACAGCCTTCCAGACGAAGGAAAGAATAACCAAGACAAGCAGGGCAGAAAGAAGAGATGGTGGGAAAGGGCAGAGGATGCTGGCCTGGTTTCCATCACCAGTGTGCCACACTGGCTTGAAGTAACCATCCTCAGGGGAGTACATCAGGAGGTGCCATCAAGACACAAAACAGAAATGACGGTTTGTTAAGCTATGGGATGGCACCTTGAGAGAAGACAAGGCAGGTCAGGCTGGGAGCTCCTGGACATGAGCAAAGTGGCCACGTTGCCACTGACACCACATCTGGGGAGAGAAGTGTCACCCGGGAACCATGGCCATTGGGCTCCTTGTTTGATGGAGCTATTCCTGCCTCTGTGAAATAGGATTTGCTTTCCCCACGCCAAGCTGACTTGCTTTGAGAAACAATTGCCCAGCTGCCCCCTGGCAGCAGTGTCTTTGCAGTCTGGTTGCAGGCTGCTTGGTGTGAAGGAGCAGCTGCCAGGCAGTCATTCCCTCTGACTTTCTCTAGGGGCTGCTCAGCCTTGCTCCCCATTTCTTAGGACAATCTGCACAGGCTTTTGCAGCCCCGCTGCTCTCCCCACTCCATGCATTTTAACGCAAGGTGAAATCTAAGCCTGCAACGCATCCTATTGAACCAAAGAAACCAAGCCAGGCTGAGCTTCAAATTAATGGAACAAAACCCACTACAAAAATGCAGCCAGCTGGTCCAGCCCCCAGCTCCCCAAGCCACTGGTTGGAGCCAGGACAGCTATCATGCTGCCAACCAACAGATTGCCCCAGTGGGTCGGCGGCTCACGGCCATTTAGCGCATCCACTGCTGAGCGCACTGCAAGGCGTGAGTTCCTGCCAGAGCCCTGGAAATGCAAATTAAAGCATGGCTCTTCCAGGGAGGTTTCACCATTCCCTGGCTATGGTCCGAGCTGTTTCTCACATCAGTCCCCATGCACTGCAGGAACGTGGTCAAAGGGTTCTTGTGATCAACAGAGGCAGAAGCACAGAGAAACAGGAGCTTGTGGAAAAACACAAACGCCAAACAAGCTCCCCAAGCCCCTGCTTTGTATTCAGGCTTTATATATATCCAGCCATCCATTTGTCAGGAATGGAGGGTGCAGCGTTCTCCATCTGCAACGTCTCCTTATGGCAGCGCTGGCAAAAATCAAACGCTCGTTCTGTTCACAGCTGTGCACATCAACCTGAGAAGTCTGTCCAGCCCTCCCTGCCTCTCATTTCCCAGGTGAAGTCAGACTGTGCTGCTAAGAGAAGGGCCAGAGCCCCCTGATCACTCCTGCTTGCAGGGCGGCCTCCTCCCAACCACAGCACCCACTGTGCCTCTGCCCTCATTGCAGTTAAGAGGAATGATTGCAGACCATCACTTCTCCACTTCCTTCCCAGGCTGAAACCTGACCCACTCCTACAGCCAGTAATAACATCTCAAAGTTAATTCACTGGAGTTGTACTCATTTGCGGCCAAAAATAGTGCTTAATACTCTTCCCTCAGCACAGAGGCTGGTCAGAGTGGTCAGCCCCACAGGCACAGCACCAACGGCCAGCTAAGCAAGGCAATGAATTGCTTTGTGCAAGGGAAAGCATTAGGGAGCACAGCAACAGCTGACACACCACCCACCCACCCCCAGGAAATGCAGCTTCATTCCCATAACCCCCATGCCTCAGTTTTCCCACCTGTGAGCAGGAACAGCAATGCCACACATCCATCCAAAGAAAACAACCCCACACCTACTCCTTCTCCAGGGAAAAACATGGAGAGCTGCTCAGGGCTGTTTAAGAGGCTCATGCCACACACCTGCAGTGCACTTATCCTGTGCAGCTGGGAGCAGGCACCAAGCTGGAGGCTAGCACTGAGAACCTCTGTATGGGTGGCAGCTCCTTCTCCAGCACAGAAAGGAGACAAAATGCAGAAAGCCTGAGAGCAGCATGCTGTTTTCTCCTGGAAATGCTCTTCTTCTGCAATATCAACGCTTTGCAACCCAACCAGCTCCAGGTCTGTGCCCTTTGCATGGTACCCCATTGCACCCCTCTGCTCTCACTCCTGCTGTGAGGTGCAAGACGCTGCTCCCCAAGGGTGAAGAAGGGGGGGTTGCTGATTGGCATTGCCTCTGCACAGCTCCTGCTGACTTCCAGACGTGCTGCAAGCTGTGAAAGGAGGTGAGATGTGCTGCTGGGGTGTAACATCACATGCCAGAGGAGCTCAAGCTGAGACAGGCTCTCCAAAAATTACATCTGTGTCCATGAAACTCATCCTCTGAAAAAGTATTTTAAACAGTGTGATGGCACTGTGTTTTAAGCTTCTTTTATACCTGAAGTAAATTATCAGGCCATGTGCAAGGCCACTCTGACACTTCTGCAGCCCAGGCACCAGGCTCTGCCTGCAATGATGAGCAGAGGGCTGAACTCCACCAGGAGGTAAAGCCCTTGGATTATTTCCTTCCTCTACTCCTCCCATTTTGGAAAGGCAAAAAACCCCACATCATTCACTATGCTCGTGAAGCAGATCTGTGAAAATCAATCTGCAAATCGCATCATCTATGGCAGATTGCTCCATAAATTGACTGACTGGGTCCCGGGGGGGGAAGAAACGTGGGAGGGAGCACTCATACAAAGCATCTGGATCAGGTCTGGCTCCAGCAAATTGCTGCACATCCACCACTCTTCTGCTATCCCAGTGGTACCAGTACCTCTGCTGGCAGCATTTTGTCCAAGCCCTCAGTGCAGCTCAGCCAGGAGGATGCCAGCTGGGAAGGGGAGCAATTAATGTTTTATGCATTCATTTATAAGGATTTTGTCACTTCACTGAGGCAATGCAAGCCCATAGGAGAGGTGGCTCCCATCCTCCCTCTCTCCCACTGCCACCTAGAATGCCCAAGCTGACCCAAAAAGGGGCTCCCAAAGTGTTTCCTGCAGGCCCTGTGTACCAGAGACCAATTCCCAGGTAGCCTGTCGTATTTTGCCTGCTCACGTGGGATCTGGCATAAATACATCAAACGAATGAAAAAAGAGAGGCGCTGAACCAGGTTGGGCAATTCAAAGGAGGAGCAGCAATTGCATGTGCTGGTTGTGGAGGATGCTTACACATGGGTGGGACGCTCACCCACGGAGGGGGGTGCCTGCCCATGAAGGGGGATGCTCACCCACGGAAGAATGCTCACCCAAGGAGCCACCAGCACTGCCATCCTGCTATGCCACGTGGCTCTCAGCATGAGTAAGCGCAGCCCCACTTCAAATCCCACACACATCCTCAACACCCGAAGAGCACACTTGTAAGTGCCATCGGAGGAACAAAAAGGGAAGGGGGGGACGAGAACCACCCCCGGCATCTCCCCTCCAAGCTGCTTGGGAAAAGCTCGCTGCAGCTCACAAAGCACCAGCAACCAGGGCAGTCAGGGACAGGCATGCCATGATTCTCAGAGACATCCCTGCCAGCAGGACAGGGTTTTGGTGCACTGAGAGATGCACCCTGCTCTTTCCTTTGGCTTTGCAGGGTGGAGGACAGCACCCAGAGTTCACATTTCATTTCCAGTAGTGTCTGTGTCCCCACATCCCTGCAAGCAGGAGCACCCCCCAGTTCCCCCACCAGTTCCCAATTTATCCCCTGTCTCCTGAAGCTATTCTCAGCAGGTACAATCTGCATTGCCATTGTTATTCAGATGATGTACAGATAATTTTAACCTTTCTGTTCCATTTGTCAAGGTTTTTTTTTAGCCTCCATGCCTGCCAGGCAGAGCATTGCCTCCCTAGCAGCAGAGGCTCCTGCTTTGCAGCACCAGGTTCCCTTGTTAGGGCTGAGCTCCTCTTCCCCTCATTGCTTTGGTTGGGGTAGACTCATGTTGAGGTGGCCCAGGTGAGCACAGCAGTTGCCCCAATCCTTCCCTGAGCCCTTTTTGGTGCAGCACCCACAATAAAACAAGAGCCCTGCTGCAAAGCCACGCAGCACAGCCATCACCCACAACTAGCCTGCAGCCTGCCGCAGGCTGCTGGCAGCCTGGAAACTTGCTGCGCTCCCAACAGCTCTGTGCAGGAGAAGCACAAGCCCTGACTTCAGCTTCTTCCCTTGACAACTCACCTGGAGGCTTTGGACCAGGCAACAGCACCTGCATGAGAAAGAGCCAAAGCAGGGGGGGTTCTTTACAACAAGGTTTTATTTTTCTTTCTTTTTGACAAAAAACATGGAAGTTGTACACGGCCGCCCGTCGGCTCGGCTCCACGGTGGGTCTGAGCGAGCACACTGCAGTACAGCATCCCGCCCCTTCCCCCTGCCTCAGCCTGCCCAACACCTTTTTGGGGGGAACCTCCTGTCTCCCCTCCTATGCTCACAACAAACGCTGATGGCAGATCTTGAGTCTTGGAGGAGAAAGGAATGTCCAAAAAGCCAGGGAAGAGAGACATTGTGCGGCAGCAACATGAGTCCAGTGACTTCAGAAGAGGGATGCTGCAGTGGTGCATGGGGGCTGTTCCTCACCCCCTTGGTGCAGTCCTTCCCACAGCCCTGCCAGAGTTAGTTTTGATTTCGCAGCCTCTATGGCCCTGCAGTCCCTGTCTGCTGTGGGAGCTGCTATGGGAAAGGCCAGATAGGAGCACTTTTGTGCTGCCCCCTAAAAAAGAAAACCAGGCTGCTTTGCTCATACAAACGTATCCCATGTGTCAGTAAAACAGGGGTCCTAGGCAGCAAAGCTTGAGTTCAGCCCATCGACATCTCAGCACCCATTGGTGTGATGCCATGTCCTCGTCCTCTTCTTCTTGGCTCTGCCACCAGCAGTCACAGCAGCACGCACCCCCACCCCCGACCCCAAAAGCTCTGGGTTGCAAAAGCCTGCCTTGTTTAACATGGTTTGCTAGGAAACACTGCAAAGCATCACTATGCATCGACCCCATTCTGGGTCCGAGAAATGCGAATGCCCAAATCCCCAAATCCATCCTTTCACCCAATTAAGACACAAGGAGCTGCCACCTCCCCAGCCCTGGGGCTGCTCCGTGGGACACCCTGCTGCATGTGGGAGGAGACAATGCCGGTGCCTAAATTTAGAGGACATACAGCAGCTGCAGCTGTCTGCTCAGAAGGCAAGAGGCTTGCATGGGGCCAGCAGGACTGGTTGGAGGTTTGGTTCCATCAGTGGAACCTATTTCTAGGGGCAAGCATTAGCCATTAGAAAAAGGGTTTTGGTTCACAATAGAGCCTGCTGACCTTTTGGAACTGGCAGGATTTGCTCTGGGGGAGCTCTATGAGCAGTCGGGCAGGGGCTGATCTGCACATGCAGGAGCGGGGCTGCGTGTGCCCAAAGCATCTGTCAGTGGGGAGCAGTAGGTTACCGGGTTGCCAGGCCACCACTAAGGCAGAAAATGCGATTCCCACTGCTGTGAATGCCTTGGGGGCATGGGGAAGTCCCTGCTTCGCTATTGCATCCAGTGAACCCCGCCGGGGCTTGGTCAGATGACTAAAACAAATCCATGTATGTGTATATCTTTATATATACAGCATATAAATATATATACACACACATACCGTATATACACACACAGGCACACCTAGAGTTCTCCTTATAGAAATACAGCTATATCAATGCGAGGTGGGGTACATTGGCAGCACTGAGCCCCCCCTCCCCCGCTGCTTCCACCCACCCCAGTACAAACCAGTTGGCTTTGGCTTGGCCCCCTGGGAAGGCAGAGCTGCTGCTATCTGCGCTGTGCTCCCAGACCCCACACCTCACCCCTTCCCTGGGCCAGCATGAGACCCTTAGGGAGGGAAACTCAAAGCCAGGGCAGCACAAACCCAAGCACAGAACCCCCATGCTGGAATGCTCTGGCCATGGGGAGCACAAAAGCAGCAACACGAGCGCTGCCAGGTCCTGCTCGGGCATCCCCGAGTGCCTCTCACTGCAGCTGGGTGCTCTCATTGCCCCCAGCCAGGCCTCTCCACCTCTGGCCAAATACTTCTCTGTGCAGAAAAAAAAAGTGATCGTAATAAATGAAAGTCAACAGGTTTTAATTTAATTTTTTTTTTTTTTTTGCACAAAGACTTTTTTTTTTTGTTTCCCCATTCTGGTCAGTTGGGTTTTCTTCTTCTTCTTCTTCTTCTTCTTCCTTTTTTTTTGTCGTGTTTTTTGTGTTCATGTTTTTTTTTGTTTGTTTGTTTCGTTTTTGTTGTGTTTTTTTTTTTTTTTTTTTTAACTTCCCCCTTTGCGTTTGGTTTTGGTTTCATTTCATTCCCAGGCGTGGCGAAGAGCATGCATTGGAGAGGGCAGGGCGGCGGGGCGGCAGCGGCGGGGACACAGCCTCTAGCACTTGTCATCTTCCTCGGTGTCGCTGAGCACATCTATGCTGGCCCCGCACATCACACCCTGCCCAGCCCCTCGCCTCCGCCTCCGGTAGTGCCCGTTGGGCATCTGCCAGCTGTGCCGCAGCGGTGGGGCTGAGCCAATGGTGTTGGAACGACCCAGGCTGGTGGCCACGGCCGCCTCGAAGGTGAGCGTCTCCTCCTCGCCGCAGTCCGAGGCGTGCGAGTCGTCGTGCAGGGCCAGGTAGGGCTCCGAGATGTAACGCTGCGGGGTGGATGGCCGGCTCGGCTTCCCCGCTGGGGAGCTGGAAGACTCGGTCAGGCCGGCGGCGTTGGGCTCCTTGGAGAGGAGCGGGGACCCCCCTTCGGTCTCGTCGGGAGGTGGTGAGGCGTCTCCGGCGGCGTGCCGCAGCATGGAGGCGTAGGAGAGGAGGGGACGTGGTTTTGGGGGC